CACAGAATGTGGTATTAGATTATTTGTTGGGCACTCAATGCGCCAACAGTTGACATTAAGTGGCAGAGTTTGCAAGAAGCTCTTTGGTAGGATCTATGTCCTGATCAAGTTGAAATCACAAATCTCATTGAAATAATGATTCAACTAAAAAGCAAATCTCATATCCTTGTACAGTCAAATTTATACTCATGTTCTTATTAGCAAATCTCAAATCCTAAAACAATAATTAAAAAAAAAATTCCAAGGCATGGAGGTCTGCCGTTTGCGAGCTATCACGAAAAAAAGAAGACCAACGGGAATTTGGAATTCCAGTCACTGAGAAAAACAATGATTTTCTAAGACTTTACGGAAAAAATAGAGAACAAGTTTAAAACCATAAAAATAAAAAATCTAAAATCAAGATGTCTGCACAGGTTGAATCACGAGCAGCTTATGCCTTATTTGGCATTTCTCAACCATTACAACAAGCATAGATGGACAAAAATTGAAAAAAATGCAAGCATATCGATATGATTTGGAGAAGAAATGCAAGCTTAAATGTGTAAAAAAATTACTAAAAAAAAATAGAAATTCAAGAACTTGTGTCTGGATTGTCTGAGCTCGACGAATTGGGTAGGCGGCCAAATGTGACTTCTTCCCCAGCTTAACTGGCACGGTCGCCGAGCAGTAAACGGTGTTCGCCGGAGGCTGTGAGGTCCGGGACGACAACTTCTAGAAGAACTGAGGGAGAAGAACGAGTAGGCAGACGAGCCGCGAGTAGGAGTCGTTGCGTATGCTAGAGCAGGCGAGCTGCGAGCGACTAATACCTTATACATACCGATACCCAATGTATCTACGCCGTTCGATCGCAGATCAAGGGCTCAAATTAGAGCTTTTACGGACCAGCAGGTTATTCCTATACCTCCCGGTTCGGCGGTTAACCGGTTCAACCGGTTTTTACCGGTTAATAAATCACCCAGCTCCTTCCTCTTCCCGGACTGCTCGCCAAACTGTTTCGTGGTTGAACTGGTCGAACCGGCCAGTCCGGTCCAGTTTTCAAAACGTTGTGAATCACATTCAAATCTTGGTTAGAAATTTTATATGCTTGAGAAATGCATTGGGACAACACTTGTTGGGTCGACATGGCCAATTGCATATGCCGATATCTGGATCGAAGAAGCCATTAAGGAATAAAGATGTGTGAAAGAGAGCAAAAGTATATGATGGTACTTATTGGGGAAGGCATTTATCAGATATACTTGTGGGTCTTTGAAATGATGCTGCTGGCAGAGGAGCAGAATGCAAAGAGTATGATAATACCATTTCGTAAGACAAAACGATTAAAGACATTTATACTCTATGCAAACATATCAATGGAAGAGCAGATATAATTATGCATATAATTATTCATTAAAAGTAGCAATTTTCGCGTGCACATATAGATGAATAATAATATACATAATTCGATAGCTATGAGATTTCCTCCATTTGATACATCAGCTCAAGTGAGATTTATTTGATGTAGGTGCCGATTTCCCATGGGCGCAAGCTTATGTGGTAAATTATATTTAAAGCTTTGGCCTAAGAATACTCTCGATTAGAGATACTACTTTATTATCTTCTTAATTTGGTGCATAGAGGAGTTCCTAAATTCTTCTAATCAAAAGGGATTAACAAATCTCTTCTCTTTATATTTGGTGAAGATTATATTTTTTTAATATATAAAAATTTGTTTAAAACTTTAAGTTTAAAAGATTAATGATTAATTTATTGTCCTATAAAGAATTATAGATTTAGAATTTATTAGGAGTTAAAAAAGACACACTGAGGGATGCACGATCTAAGCTTATGCTTGTTTGAAGTGAGTTGCCAGTTAATATCCTAAACACAATCAATCGTCATATGAATGCAAGAAATGACGGCTCTATCCTAAGGAATCAAGATTTTTTTTTATTTGGAGAGTTTAATCGAGACTCTAAAATATGCAGATGTATCAAACTAACGTCATATATGGTGCATAAAACAAATGCATAAATAAAAAATTTTATTCATTTATTTGAAGCATAAATATTACACACAGTCTGCTGAAAAATAAGGTGATAATGCTGCTCCACCAATACATGTTTGAATTTGTACTCCTATGAGTTTAAGTTCAAATACATTCTCTTACTTTCTTCTAGCTCCAACTCTTCTATAGGGTTCCAAAAGAGAACAACCTTCAAAAGAGAGGGAGTTATCTTTTCGAGCTCCATTTATTTATATAAGCAAACATCTTTGAATGTTTTGCATCTTTTGAAACTGAAATGTACAAATATAACAAAATAAAGCAAATCATAATAAAGAGAATAAAAATAATTTTTTATGTGGCTCAGCCTAAACCCAAAACCGGCCTATTCCACGCCTGGCCCCCATATTATATATGATTCAGATAAGATCAAATCCTTTTGTTACAAACAAGCGTACATCTCTTACAACCTAGATTTAAATTCAGCACAAAGAAAGATTATTAATTTGCACCAAGAATTACAATCATGTTATATTTCTTTAGATTTGTGAATAAGATGTAGAGATGAGATTATAAATCACATAAACATAAGTCTAAATAAAGAATTAGAAAGTTCTTACAAGAACTTTGGATCATATAAAGAAAATTTTAACAAGAAGTAACCAAATTTTAATCCAAGATAAAACCTTCACCTAATTTTAATTCTTTCAAGAAAAGCTGAAAGATCCTCCAATAAAATAGGAATGAATTAATGAGGGCTAGAGGAAAAAGAAATAGGAAGAAAATCCAATGGAAAATTTTGGCCCAAAAGGATTAGGAAAGAGAGAATTCAAATATTCCAATGAGAGTTGATCTTGTCGATTGATGAGGTGCAATAGGGATTAAATTAACTTAATAAAAAAATAATTAAAGGTATTTAATAGATAGGGCCCACTAAGTGAGGAGTGATTTCCTACATCCTTAAGGAGGGATTTTGGCCAAGGAGACGGAGGAGGGGTAGGAAATGAATTACCCATAGGAGGATGTTAATTAATTAATCAAATACTAGAAGTTTAATTAACATAATTAATAACTAATTAACACACACAAACTTAACAAAATATTAATTCAAATGAAGGAAATGAAAGAGGCACAAAACATATAAATTGTACACGAGTTATTTTAGGAAATTTTTTGGAATTTTAAAATTATGAATATCAAAGTGAAAATTAAAAGAAAAAGTAAAATTATAAATTCTGAAAATTGAAATTACATGAAATTATGAGTCATGCCAAAAAAGGATTGGTAAGCACAAATTGAATGAGTTTGCAAACTTACCATACATAAACCTAATTTCACATCAAGATAAAAACGAGTTATCTAATGCATGATGATGTGAAATGAAATATGCATGAAATGTTTTAATTAGTGAGCACATGATGCATGATACTAATACATGAATTATACATATGAAACATGATATACACGCATCAACATAACATAACATGTATAACAATAAACATAATGATATACATTACTTAATATAAACAATACATCTATAATATTAATGATACATTGATGAGTGATAGATTGACTTTCATTGATCATTGACAGAACAAAAAAGGGTTGTATTAATTCGTGTCACAGCCCTTCCTATGGTATTTACATGATATGCAGGGGATAGGATCAGGATAAGAATTGTTGATCCATATTTTGATTATTATTCTTAGTAATCAATATTGCGCACTTTCATACATTATTAGCTCATATGAATTGATATTGTTCATACTTATTGTTACATGTTCACATTAATATGATATGATCGATTACATGTATATTACTTTTATTTTATGTGTTGAATGTACTTGTAGGTTCGGACAACTCATTGGACTTTTTGTTCATTATGTGGCTTACATGATTTTAAGGGTAAGATCAAGTGGAGCGAGATGAATCCAGTGCAGTTGTAGGAATTTTATTTTATTTTTTTATTTATCGATATATTGAAGCAAAAAGTGTATTCATGGCTATTGTGTATTATTATTTTAAGAATATGAAATGTAAATATGTATATATATTTTGATGAGAAATGAAATGATATTTTCATTGCATTATTTTATATATTAAAGTTATTAGTAACTCTGGTAGATAATCAGAAGATTAAAAAAGATTTATTTTCCAAATTAGATATTGGGCTATGACACCTACTATATATATATATATATATATATATAAGAGAGAGAGAGAGAGAAGGCGCACGATGTGGGCTGTACGTCAGCATATGAGCGAGAAATTGAGAAGTTGGTGATCGACGTCGGCCTCCTATGGCACACGACATGCCAACAAGAGAGGAGTGGTCGTGGTCGACTGCTTCACAATTGGTGACTTTGTCAATTTGATGATTTCAATGAAGATGAAGCCAATGGAGACAAAACAAAAAAGAAAGCATTGACAATTTCTTCTTAAACATCTTCTTCTTCATTAATTTGATTTAGATAAACCCTAACATCAAACTTGTCCTATTCATTTATGGTTGCCCGTACGTGTATATATGTTAGTTGTTTCTATAAATGTGTAAATTTTTATTAGCATTAGAGACAAAATTATGAATAAATTAAATTTATGTTATGCGGCTTTATTTAAACAATTAAATGGAGAGATTTGAAGCATTTGATTTTGTTGTATCTATCATAGGTAAAGCTTATTTAAAGCTCATTGGAATGAGGTTCAATCACATTCACTTCATTTTGAAACATGATTAAAACCTCCCTTTAAATAAAATTTAAATTTTCCTTCAATTTGATCTGATTTTTTTTGAAACAATACTGTTTAAGGCAAATGTCAAAAAATTATTTTTATTCGAAATAAATTTTTACATAATCTTGTAAAATTAAATAATAAATATATTTATTCAATTATAAAAATTATAATCCATACAACAACAAGGGCATGAAAATTATGAGATATAAATTTAAAATTTTGAAATTAAATATTCTATAAATTTTAATGAGCATCGTTTCTAAATTTTTTAAGCTCGCATAATTTTTTTTTTTCGCATTTCGGAGAATTCGAGGCTGGAATTCAGAATTCTTCACCTGCACATTTCGTTTACCGTTTTAGCTTCAACTTTTTTTCTTGGCGAATAAATCTCACGTCCTGAGAAAAATCTCCGGGACAAATTCACCATTCCCTCGACAAATCGTCCGTTTTCCTTATCTCTCTTTCCCGGCGGCCATCACAGTTGTGATCAGCCAAGGCAGTCGCTTCTATTCCGAACTCTAGGATATTCTGTCTGCTTTGCTTCCTTATTCTGACCTGCGAGAACCAGGGCTTTGGTTTTTTGGATTCGTCAACGTGCATCGAAGCTCTTGAATACTCCCACTCTCCGCAGGATCAATAATGTTTCCAAAATCGCTTGCCAATCATCTCATGTCGCCGATTCCTATCTGTTCAACCAAACCCAGATGTGATAGTTCCTCCAATCGGTCGTTGGTTGTTCGATTCCATTCCATTGATACCTCTAAGAATGTGGAAACGAGCTCCAACATGCCAGCGTCCACGCTTTTCGAATCCACCATGATTTCATCGGGTAAGGCCGGGTCGTATCCGGGAGGGATGGGGGTGCATACTGGGAGGGATCCTAGCGTGAAGAAGCCTGAATGGCTCCGTCAGAGGGCGCCACAGGGAGAGAAGTTTTCCAAGTTGCAGGAGTCGCTTTCTAAGTTAAAGCTGAATACAGTCTGCGTGGAGGCCCAATGCCCTAATATTGGGGAGGTAAGCATTGAATGACGAGATTAAAGGCAATGGTTCGATTGTAATGGGAATTAGGATGAGTTAGTGTCATTCTGGTTCTTAGATTTATCAGGCTTTTAAATAAGTTATTAGGTGTAACTCTAATCTATAAATACTCATGTGGAGTATTAGGCCATTCAAATAAACATTTAGAAACCATTGAGCTTTGGCTCATCACCTTTTCTACTACAAATACTTGTAGTTGTAGGCATCCTATTATTATGCTAGATCCTTGTATCTATTTTCTCAAAGTTTATGGTCAAAACTGTTAGTATATTTGTAATATATATATTGTTTTTATACGTTTTGAATGCATAAATGAACAAATTATGTCATTTCTCTTCTTCAGTGCTGGAATGGTGGGGGAGGAGCAGGAGGAGAAGGAGATGGTATTGCAACTGCGACCATCATGCTTCTAGGGGATACTTGCACTCGTGGTTGTAGATTTTGTGCTGTGAAAACAAGCAGAAATCCTGCACCACCAGATCCCATGGAGCCTCAGAATACTGCAAAGGCAATTGCAAGCTGGGGGTAGGTGCTTTTAACATATTATTTATTTTTGTAAACTAGTTAGGGAAGGTTAAAGTAATGTTATCAAAGAGCTCTAGGTCAACCAATATGTTTCTTGGTTTTCAGGATGAAGATCATTTGTTAGAATTTGACCTATACAATTAAATATTCTGAAGTTCCATGCGTTGAATCAATCTATAGTCATCCTTTTGCTCTTATTATTTGTAATCGGTCTTATATGTTACTAATGTTGTGCCCTACTTTAAAATAATAAAGTATTGTCGGATAGATTTCTATCCTTTATGCGTAAAAAAAACTTACAGTATAAGTTATCTAATATGCAATATGTTTCAGCAGAGATTTGGTAGGGCATGCAATTCTGGTATTGTTTATTCCTTTTAAACCAATTTAGTTCTTAAGATCAATCCGTCCAAGAACAACATAGCCTCAGGGCATCTCCAACCGAACTGCATACACTCATTTGCCGTTCGCCATTTGCTTCACCCGAACGTCAAATTGCACGCGTATGATTCGAGGGAAGGCGTTGCGGCAATGGGAACATGAAAAAGAATATTCACATAATATTCATTTTTTTGTGTAAGGAAATGGAGTTTGGTTGGAGTTGAGTTACTGCATTTTAGAGTATTACTGCATTTTGGAGTAGAAAATGAGTTTTTCAGTTAGAGATTGTATCAAAAATATCGTTTGTTGAGCTTCAATGCATCTCCTACTTACTGTCAAATATGCATTTTAAAATGTGCCTTGTTGGTAATTATTTCATTTCAGTAAATTGTTTTTCATAGGAAGATGTATCAAGGTTACTGGAATGAGTGGAAATGAGCCCAAATAGTTGGGACAACGCTTATGAATTGTTTTTTTTTAACAAAAGATGCATTAGAAAGACAATATTCCACAAGTAACAGTTATACTCTAATGGCCTATTTTGTTAGCCACAAATAGAAATCAAATATTCTATTATATATCCCATTATGTCCTATTCCTGACTAATAGTGTAAAAAAAGGATGATCATATCAAAACAAAACCTACTAAACATGGCAAGCTGTGATGAAGAAATCAATAGTGCTACTTAAGTTATTATCAACTTTACGAATCACAATGAATGAGAATATCTGTCTAGGAATTTTCATTTAAGTTTATGGAAATATATTGTTCTAATTTAATTCTTTAATTATTTGTAATGAATATTCAGCTCTATTATCCTTTATTTTTGGCAGCGTGGACTATATTGTGTTGACAAGTGTTGATCGTGATGACTTACCTGATGGTGGAAGTGGACACTTCGCAGAGACGGTCAAGGCTATGAAGGTTTATATGTTAATGTAAATAACATATGAGTTAATTTGGTAGTCTTTAGGGGAATTTACTGTTAGGATTTCCGCTCTGATAGCTGCAGCTTACTTGTTTAGTTGTGTAACCAGGTAAAATATACCTGTGTAACTAGTCTTGCAAAATTTATCGTGCAATTTTCTTTTGTTGTGCAGAATCTCAAACCTGAAATATTGGTTGAGTGTCTAACCTCCGACTTCCGTGGTGATCTAGAGGCTGTGTTCAAACTTGTCCATTCTGGACTTGACGTCTTTGCTCATAACATTGAAACAGTAAAACGCCTCCAAAGAATTGTCAGAGATCCCCGAGCTGGGTCAGCAAAACCTTAAAGCCACATATGTGTACTATATACTTTTCTTTTTTCTTCTAGAGCTATTTGCAATATTAATGCTCGATTTTATCATTTCTCTTTCAGCACATATACCTTGCACATTGTTTACATTCTTGAAGAGAATCTCATAACCCTCAAAATGATTTGAAACAATTAGTTGAAGGGCTATTTGGTTGGAAGTACGGGTGTGAATGAGTCATGCCAAGCTTGAGCTGCCCCGACTTGAGCTTGAGCTTGATTTATTAGTTGATTTTGTGCTCAAGCTACATTCTATGAGTTCAATTTGGCTCAAGAGGTAGTTCATTCATTATTAGAGAGAATAAATTTGATTCAAGTTGTTGCTATAATAAAATGACAAAAATAATGAGCAATTCAAGGAGAAATTACTTCATGTAAGAAGTGTGATGCAATTTTTTTAAAAAATTAATAAGTTAGTATTTAAAAATTTTTCATTTAATATATTTTTGACATATTTTATATTAATTTTTTTTAAACAAGCCAACTCATGAGCTGAGTTGACTCGGCCTTGTATGAGAGGGGTAGAACAACAAAGAGTATTGTTAGTGTTATCACCGATCCCATAGATTTTGTGTGGGCCTCGAGCAATGTTGAGTGTTGTCGGTGTAGTGCGGTGTTGTCGAGTAGAGTAGAGGCATTGTTGGGAGGTTTCGTGAGGTTTTGTCTTGTGATGTATTTGGAATTTGCTCAAATTGGATGGATTTTAAATACATAAAAAATGAACTATAATTAAGTTTTAAATCCATCAGTAAATTACTTTGAGTCTTCGACAAAATACTTGAATTTCATAACACCAACATTACTTTACGCTAATAATACTTCCAACCAAAAAACACCCTAGAAAAAAAGTTATTACGGTTCTTCAAAATAAATGAAATTGAGTTAGTTTTGTCATACGACAAAATTATGAAATTTAGCATTGCTAGCTAAAGGAACCAAGCACTTAAAAAAATCACCTAACTTTTGAATTCAAAAACCTATTTGGTGTTGTTCTTGCTAAAATTTCCTGAATGTTTAATTGAATGGGAGAGATCAAAAAATTTTGAGAGATTGATCAGGGAGATGCTGGAGGCAGGGATCATTCAACATAGTGTCTATCTGTCCAATTTCCAGTTCAATGTTATTAGTGAAAAAGAAAGATGGTTGTTGGAGATTTTGTGTGGACTGTCGGGCATCACAAGGAGACTGTGCCAGACAAGTTTCATATTCAAGTGATTGATGAGTTATTGGATGAGCTTGATGGAGTGGTGCTTTTCTTGAAGATTGATATGAAATCAAGGTACCATTAGATCCAGATGAGACCCGAGAATGTTCCCAGATACTATGAGTTTTTAGTGACGCCTTTTAACCTCAGTAATGCTCCAACTACTTTCCAATCTCTAACGAATAAGGTATTCCAACCATATCCACGGAGGTTTGTGTCAGTCTTCTTTGATGATATTTTGATTTATAGCAGGACTGAGGATGAGCACTTAGAATACTTGGGATTGGTGTTATCCACTCTATGGGATCAGTTGGTTGGGGGGGGGGGTGGGGGGGCGCAAGGGCGCCAAGTCCCCCCCCCCCCTAAAAAAAATTCAATTATATGTGTTCCACCGAAAGAGAACAAGGAAGAGCAAAGGTTCACATGTACATTTTTATATGTGAGAAATCGATTATTTTCTCTTATATACATGCTCGATATAAGAGAAAGAAGTAATTAGATTAATTTATTTGTCTTAATCAAGACTAAGCTATTGATATATCATCAAAAAATTATCTTGATCAGGCACGAATCTCGAGAAAAAATCAAGTTGGAAACTTCAAAAATTAAATCGGAGACCATCTGAACTCCGATTTCAACAAACTTATAGTCGAACTGAACGTCTTGAAAATACGAACCCAACAACACCAAATTCGAGCCCAAATGAGTCCAAATCAAAAACCCGAAGCACATTTGGAAGGTTCAAAACATAATTTGGATGATCAAACGGTTTCCAAAATTTATTTACTTATAGTCGAATCGAGCGGCTCGACGAGACGAATCTAACGAGCTAAAGATCGTTGATTTCTGCTATCATTAAGCTATATTTTTATTCAGATTTATGCTATGCAATCAATACATTTCCTTTTTTTCTATATTTTATTAAAAATCTCAATATATATATATGAAAATCTTCGACTTTTATTTGAAACTTTATTTTAAAGAATCTTGGGTAAATTTTAGCTAAAATTGAAAATCACTTAAATTAGCTAAAATAAAAATATTTTAAAGAATGTTGAGTAAAACTCATTTAAATATCTTTCGCTCCTCTCTTGCCTCCAAACGAAGACCTTCCAGTAATGAGACAACAAACAATAGGCCCCCACCCCCCCCCCCCCCCCCTAAATAAAATTTCTAGCTCCACCACTGTATGGGACCACCACTTGTTTGCCAATTTGAAGAAGTGCTCATTCCCCAAGCCTAGAGTGGAGTATTTGGGGCAAGTTATATCACAAGGAGTGGCAGTTGATCAGACCAAAATATTGAAATGTTGAGCTAGCCAATAGTCAAGAGTTTGAGGGAGTTAATACTATAGAAAGTTCATGATGGATACAGTTCAATAGCTTATCCTTTGACCAAACAACTAAAGAAGGATAATTTCAATTGGGGCGAAGCAACTACTAAGGCCTTTGAGGAGTTGAAGAAGGCAATGACTAGTGTGCCAGTGTTAGCCCTGCCCGACTTCAGCTAGCCTTTTGTGGTGGAGAGTGATGCTTCAAGGTATGGGCTAGGAGCTGTACTTATGCAAGACCAGAGACCAATGGCTTATTTTAGTTAGATGTTGACAGTCAGGGCGAGGCTCAAGAGGTGGTCCGCCTACATGGAATTCTAGAGTTTATAGTATCAGATAGAAACATGGTGTTTCTGAGCCACTTATGGAGAGAGCTATTCAGGATGTAGGGGATCATTTTGAAGAGAAGTACAACATATCATCCACAGACTGATGGGGACCTCGGTGAATAGGAGTATGGAGATTTACTTGATATAATTTGTATCAGAAACACCCAAGACCTGGGTGAAGTGATTATCTTGGGCTGAGTACCGGTCCAATACATCCTACCATAGTGTAACACAAACAACACTCTTCAAAATCCCTTATGATTGAGACATTCTCACTTTGTATACTACGGGACTAAGAGCACTTCAGTTTTATCAGTGGAACAACAACTGGAGGAAAGTGATAGGATATTGGGAGAGCTAAAGAGGCACATCCAGAGGATACAATAAATTATGAAGTAGCAAGCTGACGGGCATTGAAGGAATGTGCAATTTGAGGTGGGTGATAAGGTATATTGAAGAGTCGACAGACAGAAGACCTTAGCTCTAAGAAGAAATAAAAAGTTATCTCCACGGTATTATGGGCCTTATGAGGTTATGGAGAGTACTGGTGCTGTGGTGTATCGTTTGCTGATACCCCCTACTTTCACTCAGTATTCCATCTGACCCTGCAAAAGAAAGTTAGTAGCAACCACAGTCCATCAATGACGTCGTAGATGACCTTGATAGAAGAAATGAAGGTGATCCTGAAGCCAATGGAAGTGAGAGGAGTTCCCTTGTCAATCGGAGGAGCTAGAGAAGTGTTGATCGAGTGGAAGGTTCCGCTTGACTATGAAGTAACATGAGAATCATACCAGATGATTCAATAGCAGTTTACTTCGTTCCACCTTGAGGACAAGGTGACTCTTTGGGAGGGGATTATTGATGAACCGGCTAAGCCGGTCCAGTCAATTAATCCGGCCTCAACAAGGGAAGTCAGTCTAGCTGGAGGGAGGAAGTGCCCTGTGGGTCCCACTATTGTGGGCAACGGGTAAGGAGAGAGGGGGCCTCAAAGTGGAATAATTCTACCTTTAATTACTTACCATAGAAAATCAAAATTGGGAGGGAATTAGGAAAATTTATTTAGGGAAGATGACTTATTTGAAATCAGATTTGGGATGGAATTAGGATGGTTTATTAAGGATTAATTAGGTTATTTTTTTTATTATGTGATTTTGTGTTTTGCAGTAATTTTCTTTCGAGTTGTTCATAGTGGTGCTTCTTGTTTGTGGAGGGTCGATCTACCTCTCAAATGGCATATTAACTTGTATCTTGGTTTGTTATGCCGATATCAATAAAATTAGCCCATATTACCATTCTTTCTTGTTGATTTCTGCTGCATTTTTTCTTTGTTATTATTATTATTTTTACTGTGTGGAGATCAAATTCCTATCAAAATGCATTCTTGAGAATTTGCATGTCTTAAGTCATCATTTCCCAACATATGTTATGACACAGTTCAAAACAAGATCGTATGATGATGGCCCCAAATTCTTCGATGATGTTACATTGAATCATCAACTCATCAATTTGGGCCACATAATCAGTGATTTGCATTAAATCTCACCTAAATGTGTTCAATTCTTTCAAAAGTTGATCTTGAAATGCTTAAGAAATGTATTGTTGATTTCCTTGGTTCATCCCAAGTTAACCAACTGGAATTTTGACCGCTCCTTTGGAGTTGTTAGGTTTACTAAATAGGTATGGCATGGCCTACAAAGTTCATTATTGCAAACCTCACATAGTGGTTTTTTGACATAACATAATCATCCTATCTATGCTTAGATCCATGTTAGTGATCCAGTCTAAGAAGATTTTTGTGTCTAGTTGTCCATCAAAAGTAGGGGATTAATATTTACCTGTTTAGTGATATTATAGCAAGGTAAACTGATCATAATGGCTTGTTGGCTATATGGAAGAAATTTCTCCCTTTAAGGATAATCATACACATGAAAAGGAAGAGTTTTGCGATCAAGGTGGTGGTGTTGAAGGGTTTGGATTAAAGAGGGAGGCCTCCTTCGCCTTCCTCAAGGTGATCTGGTTCAATGTTAGGTTCTAAGTTGTGTTGATAGATTGCGTGGATATTTATTTTTTATTACTGGAATCCTACCATGCAAATCATGATATGTGAGGGTTATATCTTTAACTTTGTATTGAAGATGAATTAAAATTTCATCACAAAGATTCATCTAAATGCAAAACCCTTAAGGGTTTCCATTGTAAGTTGTCATTGTGATGGGTTTGTTGAAAGGTAAATATATATGCGAAGAAAAATGGAATGCAAATGCAAATGCAAATGCTTTAAATAGTATACAAAGCAATGATCAACTTACTTTGATGTCAAATTGGTACAGGATAGTTAAAAGGTCACACTAATGTGACGGGAGAGAAGGGGTGCAGTTGGTACTGCCAATTACCAAGATTGTGATCTGCACCTGAAAATTCAATTTAGACTTGATAAATTATGATAAATTTAGACTTGATAAACAGGCTGAAGCCAATTACGTAGGAGATTTAAGAGAATTAAAATGAAAACTCATTTTTATATTGCTTCGACTAAAATAACTCTTCATAAATAAAAAAATATTACAATGAAAATAAAGTAATATGCAAATTAAAAAATCTTTTTGTAATTAATTTTAACTAAAATCTAAGCCAATCACAACAACTGAAATGACAATATCATGTTAATTGGAAGATCGTTATTCCAATAGTCTTTCGTTGTAATAACAATCTTCCAAACCCTGAAATGATTCTTTAAGGGATTGTACGCATCTTCATTGAAGAAAAGTCATGTGCATGAGGACGAGCAAGTGGAACAAATTAACTCTTTCATTCATAAGCAAATGAATCTTATTACAATTTGCCATTATTTATTGGTAGAAAAGCAAAATAAATGAAATTGGTGGAGATTTCGGTGGGGTGATGACATTATGTTTGATTAATTAAGAAAAAATAGAAAAAAATTCCAGGGAAAGTAAAAAAATAATTGTGCAAAAATAAAGTGAAATAAATGATGGAGAAGGCAAAGAATTAGTAGAGGATTCAAGGTGTGGTGAGTGGGAGAGAGTGGTCGGCCTAACCTGAAAAGAGGGTAAATTGCGACTTATGACACAACAATCCACCCCAAATTTAATGGAAAATGATCAAAATGGTCTATTGACTCTTTATGAAAGACCAAAATAGTCCATAAATATATTAAAAATCATTTTGGTCCCTCAATTACTTAATGAGGAATCAAAATAGTCCCACCATGGGATTATTTTGATTCCTTTTTCAAGTCTTGAGGGAACAAAATGATCCTTTAATATAGTTTGGGGCCATTTTGGTCATTCATAAAAAGTAAAAGTACTATTTTGGTTCTTTTCTCAAAATTTAACACATAAGTCTAACATGACACATAATCCAAATGACTCAAAAACATCAAAATATCAACAAAAAAATAAAAATAAAAACATGATAACCTCACCTACATGATAGCTATCAATGCATGAAGGTTTCACAAATATAGATAGTGGGTCCTAGGTAGGATGCCCTGCAGCAGCATCTTAAACTTTTTCAAGCGAGCCTTTTCAAATTGTGATGTTTTGAAGAAATAGTATTTGTACCAGCGATGTTTAAATGCAAAGCTTTGTTTCTCTTACAGATGAGAAGTTCCCCTAAGCAATTCAGCTGAATCAGCTTTGCTGCATTTGTTTTTGTGTCAAGCTGAACTGGGTGTGCAATTTTTGGATCACTTTGAGTATATTTATTTTGAAACATAATCTTTGTTTGACTATCTGTTCAAAAATTATTTTTATATGATTGTTTATTCCGACATCTTTATTGTTTTTACATTAAAAGCCAACCCAAATAGTGGCATTAGGCTATTGGCGGTGGTGGTGATGATGATGTATATAATAGGTATGACCAGAGCTTGTCTGTTCTAAAGCATGGAAAACTGTTCAAAGAAGGGATGATCACAAAGTCTTCTATCATGCTTGGTCTTGGAGAATCTGATGATGAGGTAAAAGAAGCTATGGGTGACTTGAGGACCATTGGTGTAGACATTCTGACATTGGGCCAGTATCTACAGGTTTGCTAATCATCAAAATATTTGTTTTAATGATGCTATGAAGGTTTCAGTTTCTTGTATTGACTTGTAATATCATTCAGCCTACACCGTTACACCTCACAGTAAAAGAGTATGTGACGCCTGAGAAATTTGCCTTCTGGAAGGACTATGGAGAATCTATCGGTTTTCGCTATGTTGCTAGTGGACCACTGGTAAAACAGCTTTTTCTTTTACGACAGTAAAGTCCTTTTGCTTATTGCCTTCTATAATCAGCATCGCTTTGGAATTTAAAAAATGGAGAACTAAACTTTCTGCTTGCAAGAGAGGCTTAGTTTTGTATTTGCTTTTCCATTGCTTATTTGTTTGGTAAAGATATTTTCGCTATGAAGTCTTGAACCGTTCACGAGTAAAAATGATCCTACTTGCTGCATGCAAGAAAAGTCCTCATTTTTATACAAGATGACCAAGTATAATGGAAATATAATGAGGTTTCTGATAGGCTGATTATGCATATTTTTCTCCTGGCCACTTAAAAATTTATAAAATAACCTGTACCATAAATTTATCATAAATGCAATAATGATACAAATAGAATTTTATCTATGACAGAAGAAAAAGATACATGAGATGCAAAATCCCATGCGTGTAATGTGTTATTGTCATAGACATAATGTATCACCACGACAAATGGGAGAATAGGGATTCATAGCAACCCAGCTAATGTAATATAAAGTTGAGCCATTTCATCCGTTAGTGGAAGTATAATTCAATTCCCATTTCCTTGTTCATTATGAGTCATGGAGTGATTGATAGCTCCATATTCCATTTGAAATTATGTTTTACATTATTTGAATCAATTTGATTTTGCATTTAAGTCAATTCCCTTCTTGAATCTTGCTTTCGAACATACAAAGACATTTGATTTTATTTTTCTTGAATTAGGCCAGTATGAATGATGTTCTTTCCGAACACTAAAACCATGAAAATAAGCATAATCGTAATACATATCATATGCTTCATTCTCAGAGTTGTAAACACCTTGTGCATAAGACAAACATATTTCACATGCTTATACAAATGTAGCAGTAAAAAATTTACATGTACAAAGCAATTCCTAATATGTACCAAGTATCAATACTCAAACACTGTGTCGGGTAGCGGTATCGAGTCTCAATACCGAGAAACTCTGCTGCCGGGTAGCGGTACCAAGAATTAATACCGAAAAAATTCACCTAGTAACGGTCTTGGTACAAGGATCGGTACTCGTGACCATGCTCGATACTCGGTACTAAAATCGGTAATGATTCTCGATATTGAGATGGCATCCGCAAAATGTTACTGTCGGAAGGTGGTATTGCTCGGTACCGAGGTATAGCGGTAATCAGTTACCAAGTTACAATATAAGTAAATAGAGTAGCAAAGAAGAGGTGCACACATAGTTACAATATCAAATGTTATATTCTAAAACCTCTTTAGTTAAGAAATTACCGATAATAATTCAGACATATCCCCCGTACATCACTTCATGGAATCTTCATCAACATTTTGAGTCTCTTCAATCTCTTCGAACCCTTCGATGTCATCCAAAGAGAATTCCATTTTCGTCTCCTCTTACTCGCTAATTCTTTCTCAGCGCTTTCTGACCCTAAATCATGTATAAAGTCTCTATAATAGTCCGCTAAAAGTTATTAAACCTAAAAAGAAGACGGGTTTTTTTAAATTTTTGCGTCCAATCCGGGTCCGTTCATCAGGCAGTGCGGAAATCGTCAATACACGTGGTAAATTTTGAAAATTCAACGGGTCGGGACATCGGGTCGTCGAATGCTACGGGACGCCATTTTACTGGCGTTCGAACATAGAGCTTTATCCGGTCTCCGGAGCCAATAAAAATTCCTTTGAGACGCTTGATCATGTCTTTGCCTTTTATGATGACGTTATCAATGCATACTTCAAAGTTTTATCTTTTTTGTTTTTGATAGATGTTCTCCATGAGCCTTTAATAAGCAAAACAGATATTTCTTTGATCGAACAATATAACTTTGTAGCAATATGTCCCCTCCTTTATGAAAAGAAGTATTTTTTCTGTAGGATGAGTGTATGTTAATATGATAATAACCTACTGTTAAAACTAGAATTCGAGAGGAAAAGCTTGAATTTTATTAAGCCATCAACTCCCTATTTATAGATCTATACAAGGTGTATCAATAAGGAAACAAATAATAACATGAATACAATTATTCCTAAATTAGTGGGAGGAATTAATGCAATCCATGTAGTCTTCCCACGGATTACTGTTCACAGCCGTGGATATTTTTGGGATCGTAGGGTTGAGATTTAACACTCCCCCTCAAGCTGGGAAATATGGATCCGTCATTCCCAGCTTGTCAATCATTTGGAGGAAGATAGAACTATCCAATCCTTTAGTAAGGAAATCTGCAAGTTGATCCTTTGATGATACATGGTCAACACTTACTAGACCACTGTCTAGTTTTTCTTTAATAAAATGTCTGTCCACTTCTATGTGCTTGGTCCTGTCATGCTGGACTGGATTGTGGGCTATGCTGATTGCTGATTTGTTGTCACAGTGTAGTTTTATGGGCTCATCCCACTTAACTTTTAGATCTTCTAGGATTATTTTGATCCATAGTAGCTCACATATTCCCAAGGCCATAGCTCGATATTCTGCTTCTGCACTGGATCTTGCCACCACATTCTGTTTCTTGCTTCTCCATGTAATAAGGTTTCCTCCAAGAAATGTGCAATACCCAGAAGTAGATCTTCTATCAACAGGTGATCCTGCGTAGTCAGCATCCGTGTATACTTCTAGGGTCATTCCGCGATCTCTCTTAAAGAGAATTCCTTTTCCTGGTCTCCCTTTAAGGTAGTGCAATATCCTGTCTACTGCTTGCATGTGAATCTGCTTTGGATTCTGCATAAACTACTGACCATGCTTACAACAAATGCTATGTCTGGTCTAGTGTGGGAGAGGTAGATCAATTTCCCTAAAAGTCTCTGGTAGGCCCCTTTATCTACATCTGGATCTTCTTTAGCTTCTCCCAGTTTAAGATTAGGTTCTACTGGTGTTGGTGCTGGTTTACAGGCAAGTTTACCTGTTTCTTTTAGAAGATCTTTGATGTATTTCTGTTGTGAAATGAAGATTCCTTTACTAGAGTGAGCTACTTCAATTCCGAGGAAATATTTTAGTCTACCAAGTTCTTTGATGTCAAATTCCTTAGCCAGATTTTTCCTTAAACTGGCTTTCTCCTCTTCATTACTTCCAGTCAAAATAATATCATCAACATACACTAATAATATTGTGACTCCCCCTGAGTCTGAGTGTTTGAAGAATAGTGTATGATCTCCTTGACTCTGTTGATATCCATTCAAGAGCATGAATTTGGAGAATTTTCCGAACCATGCCCTTGGTGATTGTTTGAGCCCATATAGAGCCTTTTTCAGTTTGCACACCTTGTTACCTTCAGATTTCCCTTTAAAGCCTGGTGGTATTTCCATAAATATCTCTTCTTCTAAGTCTCCATGTAGGAATGCATTTTTCACATCCAGTTGTTCCAGGTGCCAATTGTACTTGGCTGCTAGTGAGAGTAGTATTCGGACAGTATTCATCTTGGCCACAGGTGCAAACGTTTCTTGGTAGTCAATGCCATACGTTTGAGTAAACCCTTTTGCCACTAGTCTTGCCTTATATCTCTCCAGTGTGCCATCAGCTTTGTATTTTACTGAGAACACCCATTTGCAGCCAACCGATTTTTTCCCTATCGGTAGATTGACGATCTCCCATGTTTCGTTCTTCTCCAGAGCCTGCATTTCATCTTTCATGGCATTTCTCCAATTTTTATCAGATAAGGCCTCAAAAACATCTTTAGGAATACGGATATCTTCTAATGAAACAAGAAAATTTTGGTGTGACGATGAAAAATTGTTGAAAGATATAGAGTTGTTTATAGGGTATAAGGGAGGTGGTGAGCTTACCTTATTTCCAGGAGATGGTTCAGATTCTTGGATCTGCTTTGGAGTACAGCTTGAGCTTGTACGTCTGGAGTAAACCTTTCCAAATCTAATAACGTTGTCATGGGTTTCAGGTGGATTATTTTGAGGTGGTGGAGGAATGTCAAGAGGTGCTAGTTCAATTTCCTCATCTTCCTCAAGTTCAGTCTCCCCCTGAAGATGAGTTTTTGAGAAATAGGAATTTTTCTCATCAAAGGTAACATCAATAGAAACAAAGGTTTTTCTTGTGGGAGGATGATAACACTTATAACCTTTTTGGGTTGCTGAATAACCAACAAAGATGCATTTGAGTGCTCTTGGATCTAATTTTCCTCGCTCATGGCTGTGGATATGAACATAGGCAGTGCATCCAAAGACTTTGGGTGCAATATTATGATGGGTTCGAAACTCTGGGTAAAAAGAGGACAAGGTCTCCATTGGAGATTTGAGGCCTAAAGCAGTTGAAGGTAATCGGTTTATGAGATAGGTTGCAGTTAAAAGAGCTTCCCCCCAATAGGATTTGGGTGTATTGTAGTGAAATAGGAAGGCTCGAGTGGTGGCTAGAAGGTGACCATTTTTCCTCTCTGCAACCCCATTTTGTTGTGGGGTGTGAACACATGAGGACTCATGGATGATCCCTTCATTCTGGAAGTATGAGAAAAGGGTTTGGTTGAAATAATCTTTGGCATTATCAGAGCGGAATCTCCGTATTTTTACCCCAAATTGATTTTGGATCATGGAATGAAAGACGGGAAGAATGGTGCTAACATCAGATTTATTTTTAAGGAGATAGATCCAAGAGACTCTAGTGCAATCATCAATAAAAGACACAAACCAGCGTGCCCCGGAGATATTGGGGATTTTTGAGGGTCCCCATATATCACTATGAATAAGGTAGAAAGGAGTGTTACATCTCTCACTTTTGTTTGGGAATGAGGTTCTTTTATGTTTAGCTAACTCACAAGTTTCACAATGAAAATTTTTAGTTTCTATTTTCTGAAACAGTTGTGGATACATATGTCTTAGGATATCAAAAGACGGATGTCCTAGTCTATAATGATGAAGCCAAATAGTGGAATTCCTATCTACTAGGGATAACATGGAGTAATTATTACTAAATTGGTTTGGTTCTTCCAGGTAGTACAATCCAGCTTTCTCCTTAGCAAGTCCAATCTTCTTCCCCGATCTCTGGTCCTGAAATAAGCAATAAGTAGGGTTAAATAAGGCTTGACAATTATGATCATTGGTAAGTTTTTGTATTGATATTAGATTTGTGGATAATTGTGGTACGTGGAGGACGTTTTTCAGGGTGAGTAAGGGAGATAATATGATGTCTCCTTGACCAGCTACCGTGGTAAGAGAACCATCAGCAGTGATGATTTTCTTATTGTTTGGGCAAGGAGTGTAGTTTATGAGGTGGGTAGATGAGTGGGTCATGTGATCTGTGGCTCCTGAATCAATTATCCATAATTCCTTTAGATGATTTCTAGAAGCACTTAAACTGAAAGAAATTGGAGTCTTACCTGAGAGTGCAAGTGAAGAAGAAGCATTTGGTTTTTCAAGAGATACCAGGAGTTGTTTTAATTTGTCAATATCTTCTTTGTTGAATTCTCCAAGATTGGACCGTGCTTCTGGCTTACTTGTAGTGTTGTTGGCATGTGATGTACCCCTTGTTTCACCCTTTTGATTCCACTCCTTGCTGGGGGGTTTACCATGTATTTTCCAGCACGTTTCCTTTGTGTGTCTTGACTTTTTGCAATAGCTGCACCAAAGTGAGTCATTGTCTTTGAACTTTGAAGGATCTTTTCCCTTCTCCTTCCATGACGATTCTTTGTTCATCACCATTGCTGAGCTTTCAACTGTCTTTGGTTCTAACATTACTCCTCGTCGACTTTCTTCTGCGCGAATGAGAGAAATGGTTTCGTTGAGTGATGGCGTCTCTTCCTTGCCGAGGATCTGAACTCTAACTTGGTCAAATTCTGCATTAAGACCTGCAAGAAAATCATAAACTCTATCTTTTTCAATGAAGTTCTTTAGGATCGCAGCATCCTCCGGACATCTGGTTTCAATGCACCTATAGTGATCAAGTTCTTGCCACAGATTTTGTAGAATGGTGGCATATTCCGTCACCGTCTTACTCCCCTGCTTCGTGCTTCCAACTTTGACTTTAACTTCAAAGATTTGGGCCGCATCACGAGCTTTCGAGTAGGTTTGTCTGGCAGCATCCCATATGTCCTTTGCTGTTTTAGTTGTCGGCAATAAAGGCCGATGATAAATTTTATTTTTTTTTTCAAAACCTTGTCAGTTTTACTAAAAAACCGACTGTCCAATTCTTTAAAAGAATCGGGCCGGGGAGCTTAGGGTACGCGCGAAGAGAGGGCGGACCAGGCGCCTTCGACGATCTTCCCTTCCAGTCGGGTCGGCTGCTCGACTCTTCTCCTTCGACGATCGGGCTCCTCCACCGAGCCGGATCAGAGATCGGAACGGGTTCCTCCACCGAACGTGGGAAGATGGTCGTGCGGTTCTGTCGATCGAGTGGGAGAGTAGTCGATCGGGACGGACTTCCGATCGGCTTCGGAAGTATCTTCCGCACGGAACACTTCAAATGGGTATGACTGCTCCTTCGTTTCCTTCGTGGTTGTTCGTCTCGGCTCCTTCGATCGAAGTCGAGGTGTCCGCCTGCAATAGTAACTGTCGGGATCGACGGAGGATTGCACTTCTGCGTCGCGCTCTTGCAGCTTCAGAAGGTTGGATCGTTCGGCAATGAAGGCCTCCCGATCGGCTCTGATACCATGTTAAAACTAGAATTCGAGAGGAAAAGCTTGAATTTTATTAAGCCATCAACTCCCTATTTATAGATCTATACAAGGTGTATCAATAAGGAAACAAATAATAACATGAATACAATTATTCCTAAATTAGTGGGAGGAATTAATGCAATCCATGTAGTCTTCCCACGGATTACTGTTCACAGCCGTGGATATTTTTGGGATCGTAGGGTTGAGATTTAACACCTACAAATTTATAAAAAGAAATTTCAAAATTGAGTACTCTACTACCAAGTTAACGAATGCATCAACGCTTGACAATTATACAAATTATTCGGATGGCAGTAGCTTCGCCGCCCAATAACTTGTAAGCATATTTCTTCACTTCTGCTTAAAACTCTATAATCAACATTGGGTACCTCATTGTGCCGACCTGTCTGTTTTTCTGTTAGATGGGCGCATCTTAATATTGTGAAAACTCAAATTTGTATAGAAAAAATTCAACATTGGGTGCCCTATTACCAAGTCAATGAATGCATTAATGCTCGAAATTGGGTATGGATCCTTTGGATACTCGTATCTTTGCCACATAACTTGTAACCATATTTCTTCTCGACTGCTTAAAACTCTATGATAATTTTTTTATTTCTTCTTCAGAATGGTGAAACCTCTCTCCCCTCTGCCCATAATGTAGATGTACATCACAAGATTAAGGTTTCGTTTGGGACAATTTTTTATTGCTTTATAAAACAGCTTTTTAGTACAAATTTTTTTTTGAATTAGAAAATTTTATACTAAAAAATCGTTTTAGGAAGTAATACGAAAGCTGTCCCAAACGAAGCCTAAGTTGCTTTAAACCGCACCTCTTTGCTCTATGATTCTCTGTCAACTTAGACTCTCCCATACTTGAAATATCTCCTAAGTTGGCCTGTAAGATTCGTGATTTCCAAATGGTTGAAGTTTGACTTTAATGGTCGCTATTGCTTGAAATTATTGCATGCTCTATTTGGCTGATAGTAATTCTGTGTTAACTATGACTTATGGGGCGTTTGTCTTTTGATTTGTGTTACCTTCTTAAGATCGCTGGAGCCTTGGCACAACTCATCACAATATTTCACATTACTTTCATCAAGTTATATGTAAATCATTTTTCACATTAATGCTGAATGTTGTTTGATTGAAGATATAAATGAAGAATTTGAGCAGAAATAGCTGCATAGATTAATATCAAGACATGTCCCTTCAAAAAAGCAACAATTATTAGGAGGGATTTACGCTTCGTTTGGGATGGCTTTTGTACTGCTTCTTAAAATAACTTTCTAGTACAAACATTAAATTATTGTATTAAAAAGCTACTTTAAGAAGCAGTAAAACAGCCGTCCCAAACGAAGCCTTAGAGGCACTAACTTGATAGCTTGTGCAATCAAAATACCCTACTCTTAAGCTTGAATGCTTCTTGTGCTGGATTCACAGGGGTTTACGAGGTATGGATCAAAATAATGTCTAATTTTGGTTAACTTTATAAAAATGGATAAAAAAATGCATTAATATATTCTGATAAAAAATGATAGGAAGATTTTTGTTTAAAAAAAAAAGAGATATTTAGTATAAATTATAGAACATTTTAGTAAAAATACATTATGACATCAGGGACTACATTTTCATAGGACAATGTTAACGTCTTGTAGTTTATGTGAAATGTCTTTTTATTTCAAGCAAACATCTTTCTATCCTGTATGAAAAATATTCCCTCTTTAGGAGCTCCATAAGATCATCCCATTGCTTATTAAAACAGCAAATATGGCCGCAGGGCAACAGTTGCCCTTGAGTTAGATTTCTACTTTTCCCTACTTAGACTTCGTTTGGGATGATTTTTTTGCTGCTTCTTAAAGTAGCTTTTTAGTATAAAATTTTTAATTTCATACTAAGAAGTTGATTTACGAAGCAATAAGAAAGTTGTCCCAAATAAAGCTTTAGGCTTCATTTGAAATAGCTTTCTTACTGATTTTTTTAAAAAAAACTTTTTAGTATAAAATTTTTAATTTTTATACTAAGAAGCAGCAAGAAAGCCGTCCCAAATAAAACCTTAGTCATGATTCTTTTTAGTTGCTGCCATGTTTATGATATGACTAAGGCTTCGTTTGGAACAGTTTTCTTACTGCTTATTAAAATAGTTTTTTAGTACAAAAATAAAAGCTGCTTTAAGAAGCAGTAATAAATTCGTCCCAAACGAAGCTTAATTTTAGACTGCTTTGCTATATGAACTTGCTTATTGTCATTTTCATTTGCTCGAATGTAGGTTCGCTCTTCCTACAGAGCCGGTGAATTATTTGTTCAGAATCTGGTTAGAGGTGAGCACAAGAATTCCTCCAGTGGCTTATAGCAGACACTGTTGACTGCAACCTTTGGTGCTCCTATGTTCTTCAACAGCAGCAATGTGTGGTTCCATTGTTGCTTGGAAAATTTTTTATGCTTCATAATCTGTTATGTATCCTGGAATAATTTTCACTCTTGTGATAAGTTCTTTGAATTTGATGTGATTGCATAATAGTCAGTCAGAATCTTCTGAAAGCAGATACTTAGGTTTTATTTGAGGCATCTATCTCACTGTTTTAGGAGAAATTATTGCGTGCGGAGTCTGGAGGTAGCCGCACCGGATGTAGAGTTACGTCCGGATTCCAATAAAAATGTGACATGATCTTGTACAGAGTGTTTATATTATGTATATAAGTTTGTAATTTGTATATGGTGTGTACAATTATACACTGCGTACAAGGACACATGTCACGTTTTTATTGGAGTCCGGATATAACCGGACTCTGCACGCAATAATTTCTCCTGTTTTAGGCTCAGATGATTTTCTTACTATTTCTTAAAGTGGGTTTTTAGGACATAAAAATTTAAGCTTTACTTGAGAGGGTTTTTTTTACTATTTTCTAAAGCAACTTTTTAGGTAAAAAAATTCTTTGAACTAAAAAATATGTAGTAGAAAGTTGCTCATAAAATAGTAAGGAAGTTGTCCCAAACGAAGTTTAAGATTTTATTTGGGATAATTTTTTATTGTTTTTTATAACAACTTAGTATTTTTTTCTCAAAATAATAAAAAAATAATAATAATAAATTATCCCTAATGAAACTTGCGTGTACCAAGTTCTTACGAGGCATCAGCTACATTGCTTATTACTTATTCTTGTTATATAAATTATGTTGAAATTTTTGTTACCTCAAACTTAAATGTATATTAAATTTTAACATTAAATAAATTTTAAGATTTAGTATCTACCATATAAATAGTTTTTTATATTAGTTTATTTATCATATAATTAAATCATAATTATATAAATTAATTCAAATATCTAATTTTCATTTTTAATTCTCCATGATAATAATTTAAAAGATTATAAAGTAAAGAAAAGCTTCAAATAGAAATAATTTACCATAACTTATCTATCATAAATATCATTGGAAATAAAATTTTTTAGAGAATTGTCTTATTTATTGACACATCTTTTCATTGATAAGTATTTATTATATTGAAATAAAATAGATATAATTTAAAATAGAAATAGAAACTAATATTTTAATATATTTATGAATATTTATATTTATAAGAAAAAAAACATAAAATAACTAAAAAAATAAGAAATTCAAAGAATTTTAAGTTTTTTTTATGGATTACAGAGTTGTTGAACTGATGAGATTATTGAAGTATAAATATTAATTCAAAGGTAATCGGCATCATTTAGCAAAGAAGAGATTAAAGATTAAATGAAACTAAACTCATATATTTTAGATGTTTTTTTAATTGCATCATCAGTTAATTTGGAAAGTTCAAGACAAAGTTCTTTTATGCATTTTTTATTCAAATTTCAAAAGTTGCTTTATTGTAAGAGGCAATTAGTTGGTGTGAAGGGAGGTGGGAATCTAATGTGAAACACCTTAGTAGAATAAAGCTGATCACTTAAGTATCGAGGCACCTTTAAGTATAACAATTAGAGTTTTGTGTAGAAAATATAAAGTTAGCCTTTGGTTATACGAGATGTAACAGTTTAAACTCTTAACTATCAAGATATTTCCGCTTAAGACTTAAGGGCCTCACGATTTTATTATGTTGGTGTAGCTTCGGAGAAGCTCACCCTTCCCAGGTTTCTCCGAGATGAGCATGCTTAATTGTGGAGTTTCTTAATAAAATTTTAACAATTATATCAAAAGGCGCCTCAATGTTTAAGAGTTTAACTTCTTTTTATTTAAGGGGTTTCACAATCTCCACAACTTAAGCAACTAACATTCTCATTAGTATATTTATCCCAGAATCATCCACCATGCAGATAAGATTCTAGAGGTGGCTCCTACAAGTTCAAGTGGTGACTCCCGCTACGTAACACTTTGTCCTATACTGGGTTCAACAGATAGCTCCCATGGCATAGCAATTTATTTTGTATAACACTTAGTTCTCATCTTTCAGATGGCTTATTGCTCTAATATCTTTTGTAACAGCCCAAAACTTTAACTATCGAGATATTGTCCGCTTTGATTTAAGTGACTCGTGATTTTGTTCTGTTGGTGTAACTTCTCAGGAGGTCACTCATCCTAAGATTTCTACAGGATGAGCACAACTAACTGCAAATTTTTTTAATAAAATTCTAATAATTTTATCAAAAGACGTCTCGATGTTTAAATGTTCAGCTTTATTTACTTAAGGGATTTCACATGAGAGAACTCATGTGATTGCTTATCACATATGAAATTATATAAATGAAATAAAAATGTGAGATTATTAGATCAAAGCGTACGATATCTTGACATTAGGAGTTTTGACTATTACAAATAATATTAGAGCAGTAAATCAACAATAATATAAAAACTAAATGTCATACATGACAAAGTGCAGATTCATATGAGTCGTCTCTTCAGTTTTAGATGGGGAAAAGTACAATATGGCGAGAGCCATCTCTTGAATTTTAGGGGCTACCTATAAAGTCATGTATACAAGGTGTATGATTCTAGGTTAATGAAATTGTCAGGAATGTTAGATACCTTTAAGTACGGGAAATTGTGAAACTCCTCATATAGAATAAAACTGAACCCTTAAACATCATTGCATCTTTTGATTTAACAGTTGGAGATTCATCATAAACTTCAAAGTTAAACATATTTATATGGGAGCACTCATCCAAAAGATTAAATACACTCATATACACTCTCTCTCATCATTTATAAATTTTTTTATGGATTAACTATAATATCTACTGTCCATTTTATATTTTATACTTCATGCTGTGGTAGGTGTTATTCTTTTTCCAAGTATGTATTATATGGGCTTAGAGTGGTTGGTGGGCGAGCACGATTGGGAACCTCTCATCCCGAGTTCGAATTCCCTCTACTACGACCTCGCCTCTTCAGTAGGGCAAAGCAAGTGTGAGCCTGATGCCGGTGGATAACCTCGCTAGGTTCCACTGAGGGATTAATTATGCCGCCAAACGCTCCCTTTAGAGTGACAACGATACCCCCATATTATGGCCCGTAATAACATGATTATGTGACTCAATTTTCTCACCTACCCATTTCATCTTCGTGCTTGTTAGCCTCTTTTCCCCCCTTCCCCTTTCCAGTTTTCTGAAGGCAAAACTTCATAGTCCCTTTGCCATAGCAGAAGTAAAAGCTCCCCTCTTGGAAAATTATTAGGTCTGGTCACCGGACATAACTCTGCATTCAGAAGCCAATAAAATGTTGACATGTGGAACTTCCACGTGGAATTTTTTTTCTATATTATTCTTGATTTGTCTTATTAGGCCGACCGACCCGCCCCGCCTGATAACCTAATTTATTTGAAATTATGAATACCAAAAGACGCAAAAAAGTTTCGACCATACTTTCCACACTCTCCCACATCGATTCTCAACCTTCTTCAAATCACACGGTATTTTCATTCTCCAGGACCTCGTCGGCAGTAGACGAAGTTGGGAAAAGTCTACAGCAAAGGTACAAGAGAAGTTGCGCCTTCGTTGCGCATTTACTTGCACTTTACTTGTGCATTTTTGAAAAGGTTACGCATTTGTATTTTGTTATATGTTTTTGTTTGGTATTTCAAACGGTCATTAATGAACTATTTTGTATTTGCGCTTTATGTTGCTCTTTTATTGAACTTCATCTAGGGTTTAGGGTTTCCTGCACATGAGCTTTATATATACTTTAGGTGCGCTTTGTGTGTTCTTTATGTGCATTTTGTGACCACTTTATGTGTGCTTTATATGCACTTTTATTTCCTCATCCAATCTCTCCTTCCATCATTAGATTACCGTCGGCAAACAACTATCTAGCACACCTTCCATTAGCTTTGACGAATGGTCTCTTTGAACTTGTGCAAATACATATTTTGAATGAAGTATTTACATACATTCCATAAAATTTTTATATTTTTATGTAATATTATAGTGCTTACATCAAAATATATAAGCAAAATTGAATATCACTTTACATAAGTTAATAGTTTTATAATCCAAATCACCCCAACCAAGCTCGAGTCTAATTCGGAGAGAATAGTCTCACCGGTCAATCGATTCAAACCAACTTGGTGACTAAGCAACATAAAACATGAGATCACCCATACTAAGAAGCATTATGTAGCAAGCATTATTTGATTTATGAAAGAAGTAGTAAAATGTACTTGAATCACCTCACCAACCTACTTGTCTCTGTGAGCTCATCCAGAATCACTTAACCTATCACTGGTACTTAATGACTCCACACATGTTTGCCTCTCACATAAAAAGTCTTACTACATATCTATAGCATCTCCATTTTATAGATATCTGGACTTTTCAAACGAAACTTAAATGTCCATGAAATTATAAGCCAGCAGTAAACAAATTCTTTGTTTTTTTTGTTTTTTGATGTAGAAGCGATAATTAAAAAAAGTTAGCATGCTCTCATAAATCTAAAGTGCAACCTCAAGTTATTTAGAAAAGTATAAAGCATAAATTGTGCAGAATGGAACAGTAATATTCACCTCATTTGCGATTTGGATTGTTCACAGATAAAGATTTTTCTTGGCAGCTGAATAAATCAAAACCATGGCTGCTGACCGTTATAGATTTTAGGGTTTAGGGACTTGAGAAAGTATACTTTCATCTGATTGGAAACCAATATTCAGAATAATCGAATCAAGTAATCTGTATAATTAGTCTTCTTTTTGTGGCCATTTTCAGCTTAGCAAGGCGCGCGAAGTTGCACCTTTCATCAAAGAAAAACAATGTGCAGGTCTGGAGCTCCTGGCAAAGTCAAACAACAAACAAAAATCAAAACTCAATAAGCATACCACACCAGTAAAGAAGGATAATTAAATGAGAACTTAAGTCGCTTTTGGGACGGCTTTCTTATTGCTTCTTAAAGCAGCTTTTTTATATAAAAACTTAATTTTTTTAACTAGAAAGATGCTTTAAGAAGCAATAAGAAAGCAGTTCCAAAGGAAGCCTTAATGGAAAGATGGCGAGCAAACAGTAATGGCCCGCATCAGCCAACTCCAGTGACTGAGCATGGCACGACAATCACCTTGTATTTCTCATCGCTGAAATGCTTCATGATCCATAATCAGTCCAGTTTGTCTTTCCAGGTGATATTGCCAGCTGAGTTGAGCATATTATATCATAGAGAAGTTCAAGAGATTTGCAAGCTTCAAGCTGGCCTCGAGAAGGTTAAGCTTTCATGAAAATTTATTTCACCTAGAAAAAAGTCATCCTTGCCTAGTCTCCAAGGCCAAATGGTCGGATTGTAGCAAAGATTCATCCAAAAGCAACCAAAAATGGCATATCCAATCCATTCTTTGATTTCTGAATGCTGCAATTCTAAGGAGACTATTCAGCAACAGGAGCGATTTCATCCATAGTATCTTAGAGTCTATTCATCTCAACCAGCGAAGAAGCACCATTACTTGGTATTCCGTTTGTTGCAGTAACGGTGCATTCTGCATTTTTCACTACTGTCTGTTCTACCACTGGCGAATTCACATTATCCACCAAAAGTTGATTGTCTGTCCAGAAGTCATATACTAAATGTTTTTTTATATTACCATTGCCCATAATACCATAGGCCAAGTTGGATTCAATTGCATATTTTTATTCACTAATCCTGTTCTTGGAACACATAGCTTTGGCATCCTTGCTGTAACACAAAGCAAAAAAAAGAGAAATTATAATTACAGACTATGTGGTAAAGAATAAATAAGCAGCCAATGAGGGAAAATATGCTAAGGTAATCGCAGGATAAAAAAAGTTTATCAATCATTTCTCAGACCACCCGACAGGCTAGCCTAACCTGGCTAAAATTAAAGAAGAGCTTGGGAAAGATCACAGAATAGTTAAGATGGCCTTAGCCAGAAAGCACAGGCACAAACAACCAAACAAGCTTGCACTTGGACTGGGTTGCAACTACTCAGTCAGGATAGGCCAACATCGGCATTGCTATGATTTCCCATACCATAAGTTTTGGTTTCATCAGTCCTAGTGTTTTACTCGATATTGCAATTTAGTTACGGATTTTTTAGGAACCTACCAATCTGAACCGATTGTTTGAAGTTCAGTATTATATAGTTTGCTAGGAAATGATGCCAATTCCCATTCATTAGTCCTAAGAGTAAAGGATGAAAATAACCCAATCTCAAACTCACTTCTTGTGGAACTGTCGCAAAGATTTTACATTTTTAATCTTTACAATAACAACATTATCGAGCCGTTATCCCATTACGTAGGGTCGGCTATATGAAATTTTTTTTTTCCTACATTGTGTCTTTTTAATAGTCAAGTTCTCATTTAAATCTAATAAGAATATCATCTCTAATACTTTCTAACATACTATTTTTAGATCTACCTCTACATTTCTTAATATAGGTCAAATCTAATACATCTAACATCTAAGAAGACCCTCTCTAATCTCATCTGCCATTGGAGCTACTCCAACCTTTTCACGTATATACTAATTCCACATTCTGTCAATAAGAGTGAAGCCACTCATCCACATAAAATCGAAATTTTAGTTGAACCAAAGTACCTGAAGTCGTACGGCATCGAGAAAGGGGTGATGCTATTGGATCCTAACAAAGAAATTGAGCAAGAGATTGATGTCCTAATAATTTTGATAAATATTTATTCTTACCGATGTGATATATTTATTTGAAACTCAACGAAGAAATCAACCCAAATATACATAAAATGATAGATCAAAACCTAATAATAACATCAAGATTTCAAAAAGCCTAAGAAAACTTTGATTTGTATGTCGAGATTATAGATCACACTATAGGGAATTTACACAAATTACCCTTTGAAGCCAAAAAAGGACTTTGGAGGTGATATATGTAAAAGTTCTAGGCAAAAGCCCTTGCCCAAATCACTAAACTCCCAATTAAAAAGGTATATGTGCAATGCAAATTTTGTATTATTACATTGTTTCCACCATAATCTAAAATTCCATTAAGAAGTTTAAAATCTACACTGCAAATCAACATAATCAATATTAATTAAGCAGCGGTTTAGGCGAACCGCAAGCAAAGCTGCCAGCATGCGGGAACTTTCCTGGATGGCTCAAATTGCATCGTCAAGTGGATTTCTGAGTTCGAGCATGAAATATAGCGAGACCTTATGAGAAATAACCTCCTTTCATGCACTCTAGTGGCAGAAATCTCAATTTAGAAATTTTGTACAAGAGGATTTAGTGGAGAGGAAGAAGAAGGAGAAGGAAGGTATGTTATTTTTCAATCTTGTTCATTTTGCATGCACTTTCTTCGTGATTTAAACTTAAGAAAGTATATATATCTCTTTTAAAGGTAAAGAAAGAAATTTGGGAGAGAAAGAATAAGGATTTTGTGTTGGAAATTTTCTTTTGTAAGTGATTTCAAACTTCCTATTTTATTTTTTGTCCAAATTTAGAGAAAATAAATATATAGAAATTTATTTTGATAGAAAGTCACAGTATCTGATTTTCAATAGGAAGAAAATCCTTGCAAGAAGAACTCTTGTGAATGAAAACTTCATTTCATAGAGAAAGGAGGGAAGATTTAATTTATTGATGTCATCATATTGCAAATAATTCATGCTTGATAGTTATATAGATAATTATAAACTAGTTAGCAATGATTAATGCAATTTAAAACGGTTTGGAATAGTGATGGATTTGATTAACCTAGTGCATGAAGGTGAAGTGCTAAAGCCAATAAAAAATCTCAAAAGGGATTTGAGATAAGATTATATTTAGGAAATATTTATGTGAATTAATGAAGTATAATAGTTTATATAATTGGGTGTGTAACTTTAGGTTGTATTAAGAAAGGCTATTGCAAGGATCAACTACTAGAAAGGAATTGAAGTACAAAAATTTCAAAGTGGGTAATTTCAATTGTGTTATATCAATTCCCAATTCCTTTTATGTTATTTAGTTTCATTTTATTTATAGTAACTATTGTATATTATAGTACTATATTGACGAAATGATTATTGTATGATGAAAACTACATAAATAGAAATGGAAAGTGAATTATTTGCTTTATAAATAAAATGACTAGACAGAGTACTATAAAATGTAAAGGAAATGAAATATTGAATAATGATTTAACTGAAATGGAAGAATTAAAAAATAAAAAAGGTGCATGTATGCAAATTACAAGAGTTCATCCTCATATTATATTGGTTGGGGAAGCAACGTACATGTGCACGTTAAATGGAAATTATTGTACCTTTATAAGTACATTTAGATGGTGCTCATGTACTAATGGAAATAGAAATGAAAATGGACAAATAAAAAATAACGATAACTAATTTATGTATAAGAAAAACAAAGAAACATGAATGATTTATTTTGTATACCTAACAGTTGTATATAAAATATAATAGAAATTTTATATATATATATATATATATGCATGTAAATGCAAAAGAAAAAGAAAGCTAAAGGAAAATGTTTATTTATGTATATAAAATTTCTATGTCACAGGCATGATTACCCACTGAGTTATAAACTCAAACTATTAAACTAAACTTTCAGGTAAGTGGTAAGTCTCCTGACAAATAGAAATGGCTGAAAGAGAAGAGGAATATATCTATAGAAGACGACGCACAAATGAATGCAGGTAATATATGGTTTATATAAATGTTAAGTATGTGAAAGATTTTATTAGCAGTTTAATGGAAACTGTGTTAGTGGCTCTTCAGTTTTTCTTTGGAATGTATTTGATAAAATGTTTTTTGAATTTGAAGAAATGTTATAAACGTCCGACTGTCTGTTCCTGTCTTATTAATTCGAGTATTCGGGCCGGGTCGTGGCACACTCAACTTAATTTTATGCTCCTCTTTTAATGAACACTATTATGCGTCATAAACCTTGCAAGTCTCACCACCATCTTATAGAATTTTCACTTAAGTTTGAGGGGTACCTTTCTATCACACAACCGTCCTAATGCATTCTGTCTATAAACATCCTTGTTTGCACTTCTTACTTGTAGTGATAGTTGAAGACATTGTTGGATCATGAAATTTGTTCCATATAAACCCCTCATGACATTTGCAAAAGCCAAAGAAGGCCATAATAATTGCGCATTGGAAGAGAATGATTTTAATTAGGCTATCCTGCCACTGGTTCAGCCAAAAGCAGGTCAATATGATTCATATTAAACATGAACTATTCTATGCTCAAAAGTGTGTGGCAATCATTAGATCCTAACTCTGTGGATCTCAAATATTTCAAGGGGATGCATCTGTGCAACTTAAATGAAGGGCACGTTGATAATTAACAATATCAGCATGCACCCTAACAGCAACAAGAAATCAGTTGTGGTTGGCAATCCAAGATGGACATAAACGGGAAACCTCAAAATACTCGGTGCTACATTAATCAAATGCTCCAGCATAGCTATAGCTAATTTAGCATAAGCTGCATAACCATTAGTTTGCAAAAAATAAAAATAAAAAATAAAAATAAAAATAAAAATAAATAATAAATAAATAAAAATGAAAAAAAAAAAATTAGTTTGGCATTTCCAACCATCTTTACAATTTCCTAAGGTATTTGTTCACTTGAGCTATAAAAGAATACCAGATATTAGTTTTTATTGAATCTGAGAGTTTGAACTACAAAGAAATCATTCATCATTTTCTTCTTTTCAGGTTAAGAACAACAGATGTGAATTCCCAGCGAATTTCCTCCAGGTTGAGTGTTGGAGACTTCTTAATTGAACAAATGCCCTCAAGAAAGACGGATTTATTGATAGATTAATGGTAAGAAAAAACCAACCTAAAAATTCAGGGCAAATCCTCCTCAACTCTCCCGGCAGGTGAATTTACATATTTGTGTTCATTATGTACTAAATCATCCATCTTATGTGAAATGCATATTGAATACGCTCTTTATTTCTTATAAATTTTCTGCAAAAGTAGATTCCTTCGTTGCATTTGACGCTTGAAAATTCCGGATAAGCAATACTTCAAGCAAATCAGTCTATCGTGCGACACAACACACTTTTTCTCATGATAAATGAACTGCTGCAAGCTGATACTAGATATCTTTCTTGAATATGATTCAAATAAAATTTTAAAAGTAAACAAGAGGAACAGTTCACTCAACTTTTATATTCATGTTAAACTCAAGATGAACCTAATGAACTCATCACCTTTTATATTTTTCCTTGAACAAAATAAGTGTCTACCCCTGCATAAAGCTCCAACCAAATTGAAGTCTGGGGACAGAAGTTGTATTTTATCAAGGTGCTAACATTTTAAGAACAAAATATGACTGATGCAGCGCAATTAACAAATAGGATTACCTAATGAAACTAATATGCTGCATAATATGCTTTTACGCAAAGAAAATTTTGAAGATTCACATATCACAAGTTAAACTAGAATTTAAATTTATGTTATCAGTGTTTCTAGAATATTTTAAATATGATAGAACGTATAGTCATCCAATTTCAAAAGAGATGACTAAACCTTAAAATTTTATTCATAAACATCTCATAAATTACACCATTTTTTAAATACATAATTTAAAAATGCAAACTGACACATCAGTTCAGTATAATACCTATATCAAGTTGTTATCCTTCTGTTGTAAACAGACTTTCTTCTTTCATCCATTTAAGCTAAGGGAGATTTTCCTGAAATAATTATCCGAATAATTTAAACAATTCAATGGCTAATTATATTTCTAATCATTGAAATTCAAAAATTAGAAGACTGTATACATGCAGATCATTGTATGTAAATCATAAAATAATAATTTATCATGGGCAATAAATAATGATGTAATTATAAATATATCAATAATAGTATAAAAAATTTATCACATATCAGTTCTCTTTATCATAAAATTTTAATTTTTAACTTGTTTTATAGTTTAATATATCCATCACAAGAGCACCATCTAATTTAGTACTATTAAAGACACATTCATCTCAATAACTTTTCTAAGACTAACCCCTGAGGTTATGCAATCATTTTTCAGGTTGGTACAATGCATTCCCAACAACTAACAAAAGGGGGTGAACTCAATTTTTCAACATACACATACAATTACTTCTAACTATCATATTCATTGAAATGATCATATCATATTACTTATAATAAATTTCACACAACTTTTTTTTAATAAATAATATGACTCTATTTATCAATGTGCAGAGGTTTATAAAAGAGAGTATTCATTTAGTCATTTCTAACAACAATTAACATTAATCATTAACATCAAATGCATATAAGAAGGCCATGGTTTAAAATTGCGCAATATGAGGCTCGCCTTGAGGCCCGCCTTTGCGCAATTCCAGTAAAAAATGCCTCGATGCTAACGCCTCGAGTTATTTTTATGAGGCTTGCGCCTCAACTTGGTTGAGGCCCGCATTGAGGCCCGCCTCGCCTCACTGGCATGAGGCTTATGCCTCACACGATATATATTAAAACTTACATAAATCTTGAAGTAAATGCCCGACATTAGACTTTATAGGAGAGGAGGAAGGGGAGAGAGCAGTTCACCATAATAATGATTCAAATGAAGAACCCCTTAGTGATGACAGTGCTGATGGCTTATGAGTTCTTATGTGATATATCATTGCTATTTATTTTTTGAAATCAGAGTTATATGTTAATAAAAAGAATACTGTGATTTCTGAAAGATAGAATTTTGAGTTGAACTATATTTTATATTGTCTTATTATTGAAATATTTTGATTTCACTTCATATTTTATGCTTTTTTATGTTTTATATTATTTACTCATTAGTATATAATAAATTTATCATTTTATGTTTACGCAATCTATTGATTTTGAGTCTTACGCCTCAAAACGCCTTAAGGCTTACGCCTCGCCTCACGAATGAAAAACGCCTCAATACTCGAATACGCAATTTTAAACATTGAAGAAGGCATAATAGTTGATGCATCAAATTTAAAAGAAAAACAATTTTTAAATTTTGAAATTGCGACAGATCAAAAGTTACGGAGTCATCTCTCGAGTACGAGAAATTATTACGTGCAGAGTCCTTATGTAACTCTATGTCCGGACTCCAATAAAATCGTGACACGTGGATTTTTAATATATATTTTTTAAAACTCGTTACTTAACGACCCGGTCTGGTCCAGAGGTGAAAATTTTGAAATTGCGACAGATCAAAAGTTACAGAGTCGGTTCACTTTTCATCTTTGATCAAGGATTGCTCTCCTCTCCTTCTTTAGTCCTCATTTCAGTTCAGGCGCTTTATCATCTCTTTATTTCATCATCTTTGAACAAAGTTAGGTTTGTCATTCTCCTTCAGTTCATATTCAAAGAAGGATCTCTCTCTCATAGGCGAAGCTACATACTTTGTTTGGCGTTTCTCTCAAAACAGTTTTTAGGCTTTAAAGTTTAGGCCATACGCTCGGCGCCTGTTTGCCAATGTCGCAAGCCTCTAACGAATGCCAAAAAGAAGCACATTTTGTGTTTTTCTCCGATGTGAGCAGTGGGACGACAATATTGGCATCCCAGTATTAAAAAAGCGAAAATGGCAGTCGGTTTGACGTACAATTGGATGCTCTCGGCTACTGCAAACCAATGAATGTCGTTTGTCCGGAGATTATTAGGATGTATTATTCAATTATTTATATTCAAATGCCGGAAAGATGAATGCTTTTGTACATCAACTATGTAAAACTTTATGTAAATTATAAATTTTTGAAGTTTAGTAATTTTTGAGATTATAAACAGTGTATATGTAGAAGAGATTTTTTTTTTACTTGTGTTTTTTTTCTCGAAACACATTATGTATTGACTTTGTATTGCATTTTATAAGTTAGGATACACAGATTTCAATGATCTATGTATTGTTTTTGTTGATTTTGTGATGATTTTTTAACTTGTATGCAGGGTTTATAGAAAAGAATTTTTTTGAATTATGACCATAACAACACAGGTTATCCATTATACTCTAGATGATCTGCCAATTGAAATTCTCTTGCCTATGTGTGATGACGAAGACATCGTGTGTAATACTCTCAAAAATATTTAAATTAATGTAAGCTTCAACTTCCTCTAAATGTTAGCTTATTTTTATATACATTCCACTTTAATTCCAAGCATTTTTGACATATAGAAGTATATGTAAATTATCAAACTAATTGTTTAATTGATTGTATTTAATTGCAGTATATGGTTTAAATGACAGCTAGATTAAAGGCTAAGTATTAGTAAATTATTTAATAGTATGTACTTATATTACTGTAACAATTCCACTCAATTATTGTAGCAATTCCACTTAAACCGGCATGCATAAAGCTAATGGAAGTCTTAGGGCTGGGAATGGCTGAGAAGGTTTAGTGAAATTAGAAGGGTTATTATCATTTTAATAGTGTGATTTATTCTGTGGAGACATTAGCTTCTTTTCCCCACCCGTCCCTCCTTGGACATCGAAAGCCAACTTCAAGCTGAGTAGCGGGAGCCACTTGGTGAGGCTGCTGCTGTGAGATGCTTTGAAGGAGGATTTCAGAGAATAAATTTCTGAAATCTAGTTGCTGGAATTCATTAAAATGCTGAAGCTGGTTGTGCGGAAGAGTGGTGGAAACTGATGCAGGCTAAGTTGATGTAACTTGTTACTCTTTTGGTTGAAGAAAAAAGGTAAGAAGGGAAAGTGAAGAAAGGAGACTTAGGAGAAGAGATGTCACATTGGGGTGAATGAAGAGAAACTTCTTTCAGGTAAACTTATAAGATTTTTCATATAACTTATTATATGTTATTTGAATGCAGATTTGAATGATCAACAATTATGATTTAGATTGTATATAAGAGGAAAGGATGCAAGGGTATTTTAGGGGAACAAATTGACCCGACTTCCCTAGAGAACGAGGTGAGATACCCAAACAAGATTATAAGAATTAGTAAATGTTTTATTATTGCACTTCTTCTTGATTATGTTTATGATTACATGTATTCTAGTTTATTTTGGTTATTTTGTATGAGTATGGCTGTATATGTATGAAATTGTTTATGTAAAGGATAATCTTTAGCAATGTTAATGATTTCATAAGCATAAAAGGGTAAATATTCATAAACTAGTGAATGAGCAAAAAGCGCAACTAAAGTGCAACTAAAGCGCAGCTAAATGGCAGCTAAAGCGCAACTATGTCATCAAAAGCATATGTCATTAGGGCTAAAAATGATGACTATATGAAAGGTGAAATAAATTATATATGGGGGATAGGCCCACACAAGGAAAGACGAAAGACCTGATGAGATAAGCCTACACTCTTAATTCTAGAAGTTGAAAATTTTGACTCAACCCTGAATGAGAGAACAGCTTCCATTCTAAAAAGTTGGGAAGTTAGACCCAACCTTGAATTGGAAAGTTGAAATGGTGCAAAAGCTAAAAACCATTATATAACTTATTTAAAGATGTGGAATAATTTTGGCAAGATAAATAATACTGCTAGGCACTTTCAGGCTCAATATGACATTTCAATATGTGTTTAACTATGTTAGCATTGTTAAACATTTCTTATTTGTTTATTATTATTTCTTATATATTGCTGGTGTATTTCATTGAGCAATAGCTCATTAGCAGTGGTTGTATTGCAGGTAAGGGAAAGGAGCCCGTAGGACACTAGGCGAGAAAGAGGTGACCGTCTGTTTTTTATAAAAATATGTTTTGGAGTACAAAGAGATCTTAGAGGAAATCTGAATAATAGCTGTATAAACCTTTTGATAAGTAAGTAAAGTTCAAAAATTTTAGTAGAGCTCTGTAATTGTTTTAATTATGTTGATGTTCAGTAGGTAATATTACATACTTCATGTTATTAAGTGTGGAGTTTAATATGTTGAAATCTTTCTCTGTTATACTCCAATTTGTGGTAGAGGGTGAGCCAAACTGGGGTGTGACATCGTGGATGTACATCTTTTGTTTGATTACTTCTCCTTCTCTTGAATTTTACTGATCTATTCCCTTTAAATGTGAGAGGGATAAGAAGAGAAAAATTTTGGAAGAAAATAGAATAGAAACATCAATAAGGTGAGTGAACCGAGAGAAAGGTGCCCAGGTGCCTTGGATCTAATCTCATGCCAATAGAGATCAACATGAGAAACTTTTGGTAGAGATGGAGAATCTTAATTTTCCATGAAGAAGGCCAAATGGTGTGTATGTGTGTGTGAGAGTGAGAAAAGAGAAAATCTAGGATAATTCACAACTTTAATGCAAGATGAAAATAACATCGTACCATATTTATAGAAATATGGTTTAGAATTCAACTCGATACAAATCTTATCTTCTAATCTTAAATTGAAATCTAATATTATCATCTACTTGAAATTTTAAACTAATATTATTTAAAATGAGAATTTCTACTTAATTTAAATTAAGATAATGGTAATTTAAATAATTATAATTTAAACTCATGAGCCAGTCCAGTTCAATCTAGACTTTGGTTTAGGCATGATTGTTTATTTAGGTGCTGTTTCATCTGAATAATTTCCATTATTTTCCAATGAACAAATCAAAGCACTTAACCTACATTTTACATCTCATTGCATACCTTTTAGGTTGGGAAACTGGAAGGACAGTAAAAGAACTTCTAAAAATGTCAGGATAGCAGTAACGAGGAACAAAGCAAAGAGCCATACCTTAGTGTGTTCTTAATCTTTCTAACATGGGTTGAAGGTCCCGTTTGTGGCGTGCATAAGTCAGCAGGAAAACCTACCTAGAAGTTATTAGCATACCTTCCTCGCTTAAGTTTTCTTGGAAGTTTCATGCATAGCTCTAGACTTCCTGGAGGGATAATTAGTGAACAATGAGAATATAAAACACAGCTAATGAATCAGTCGACCTGAATGGTTGCACGTAAGGAACAGTAAAAGGTTAGTGCTCCAGACTAAATACCTTGAGATAAGTTTAATCACATGAACTAGAGGCAACTCCATCAGAGCATCTTCACTCAATTCACTCGAGGCAAAAATATCATCAATTCGTTTTCTTTTGTGGGATTTAAGCCTCTTAGGTTGACTTATTCTGCCGCATTAACCACATAAAATAAGATGGCTAAGATAAATAAGGTGCAAATAAGCTGTAATCATTTGAATTCATTTAATAAAGCTAACCATCCAAAAAAAAGAGGTACCAAAGGATTTTCTGCACAGTTCAAATAACAATAAGAATAAAAAGACAAATAGCTCAACATTTTTCTTTCTTTTTCCTTATGCTTCTGCATCAAGTTGTAACAGATATAAAAAGGATTAATTAAATTCTGTTATAGGTCCACGGTATCTCAATGAATTAGTGAATGAAATGACCATTCATCTCATGCTTATTTTTATGAAGATGTTATCAATATAGTTGGTATCTTCTTAGGCCATAAAATCAGTGAATATGTGGCAAGAAAAAAAATGAAGAACGACAAGAAGAACATATGCATGAACTCTCAAGAGCACTTACCTATTAGTTACAATTGCCAAACACTGCATTTATTCCCAACCATTATCTTATCAACTTCAAGTTTAAGACTATAAGTGCTGACGCATGGATATATTTTGGGTGAGAACTTCATATAAGAATGAAAATGTGAGATTCCTTTGATTTAGATGAGTGATTCTCCCGAAGACTCGAATAGAATGGGTGAGTACTCTCTAAAATTTAGGTGCATGAATCTATTGTTGTCTCATTTATATTTTTTTTCCTGGTAATAGATTCTTTCCATATCTCTTTTCAATTCTATTTCTATTTTTTGATGTTTCAGGTTGCATCTCTTGCACTTTATTCAACAAACATCTATTTTTAGAAAAGATATGTCCATTTAGCTTCTTAAGACTCATGAATTGTTGGTCATTTAGATAATTGGAAACAAAGATACACTATAAAGGAAGGTTAGGCTAAATGAGGTTCTCCGACCGTATCATAATTTTTTCATGAAGTGTACCTATAAAAGAACAGTGAAATGCACTTAATTGGATACTAACAAGCATGATCCCCACTTCACACACTAGGACAGTCAAATCACTGATGGGACTATTGCAAACCCTTCATAGCAAAAAAAAAAAAAAAGAAACCCAAGTGTATAGTAGACAAAATACCTTGATGTTCTCTTCCTTTTTCTCTTAATGTTTTCATTTTCATCAGCAGTAGAAGGTAGAGCAGGCACAGGAGGCAAATAAAAGTGGGCAGATTTAGCACTGTTCACCAAACCATCTGCTTTTGAATTTTCTTCATCATCTCTTTCGGATTTATCTCGAGACTTTTGTGATTGTTTGTTTCTGTGGCATTACCAAAATAAACAATAAAAACATTCAAACAAAAGATATATTTTAATAGGTCAAGATGGTTTTAGTATCAACATTTGGTATTAAACCAAGTAACCATCAATAAAAAAATTCAGCGTCATATATTTAGGCTTCATTTGGTACAGCTTTTATATTGCTTTCTAAAGTAGTTTTCTGCACAGTTCAAATAACAATAAGAATAAAAAGAGAAATAGCTCAACATTTTTCTTTCTTTTTCCTTATGCTTCTGCATCAAGTTGTAATAGATATAAAAAGGATTAATTAAATTATGTTATAGGTCCACGGTATCTCAGTGAATTAGTGAATGAAATGACCACCCATCTCATGCTTAATTTTTATGAAGATGTTATCAATATATAGTTGGTATCTTCTTAGGCCATAAAATCACTGAATATGTGACAAGAAAACAAATGAAGAACGACAAGAAGAACATATGCATGAACTCGCAAGAGCACTTACCTATTAGTTACAATTGCCAAACACTGCATTTATTCCCAACCATTATCTTATCAACTTCAAGTTTAAGACTATAAGTGCTTACGCATCGATATATTTTGGGTGAGAACTTCAGATAAGAATGAAAATGAGAGATTCCTTTGATTTAGATGAGTGTTTCTCCCGAAGACTCGAATAATATGGGTGAGTACTCTCTAAAATTTAGGTGCATGAATCTATAGTTGCCTCATTTATATTTTTTTTCCTGGTAATAGATTCTTTCCATATCTCTTTTCAATTCTAGTTCTATTTTTTGTTGTTTTAGGTTGCATCTCTTGCACTTTATTCAACAAACATCTATTTTTAGAAAAGATATATCCATTTAGCTTCTTAAGACTCATGAATTGATGGTCATTTTAGATAATTGGAGACAAAGATACACTATAAAGGAGGGTTAGGCTAAACGAGGTTCTCCGACCGTATCATAATTTTTTCATGAAGTGTACCTATAAAAGAATAGCGAAATGCACTTAATTGGATACTAACAGGCATGATCCCCACTTCACACACTAGGACAATCAAATCACTGACGGGACTGCTGCAAACCCTTCGTAGCATAAAAAAGAAACCCAAGTGTATAGTAGACAAAATACCTCGATGTTCTCTTCCTTTTTCTCTTAATGTTTTCATTTTCATCAGCAGTAGAAGGTAGAGCAGGCACAGGAGGCAAATAAAAGTGGGCAGATTTAGCACTGTTCACCAAACCATCTGCTTTTGAATTTTCTTCACCATCTCTTTCGGATTTATCTCGAGACTTTCGTGATTGTTTGTTTCTGTTGCATTACCAAAATAAACAATAAAAACATACAAACAAAAGATGTATTTTAATAGGTCAAGATGGCTTTAGTATCAACATTTGGTATTAAACCAAGTAACCATCAATAAAAAAAAATCAGCGTCATATATTTAGGCTTCATTTGGTACAGTTTATTGCTTTATAAAGTAGTTTTTTAGTATAAAAAAATTTTATTCAAAAAATTTTTATACTAAAAATTTATTTTAGAAAGCAGTAAAAAAATTGTCCCAAATGAAGCCTTAGTTTCATAATGAATTTTACCTTAAAGTTCAATGAAGTAAGCAGCATTTTGATATAAACATTTAAAATTTAATAGTTCAAAACTCTGGAAATTACAAAGGAATTCAAATAAAGAGGCATACAATAAAGCGATTGGAGAAAGTTATGATCGGACAAGGTTATGAAATAAAGCATGAGAAAAATCATATGCACATCAGAGAATTTAGAGGTTTTTATGCCTAGAGGACCTTTGATCTTTATATAGTTTTTACTACTCTTGAAAACGCACATGGTAAAGCAGCAAGAATGAATTCAATGGGTATCAAGGAGAAAAAGGAGATCAAATGTGTATTGAAGCTATTAAACATATTTACTAAACGGCAAACAATTATTAGAAATAATTACGGACTGATTAAAGATTTTTCTAATTATAATAAAGTTACCTGAAAGATAGCCTTAAGGTCATATATTTGGGTATTGGTTATCTACGGTGCTTAGAAAAAGGGGATCAAATATTATGTTGATGGAATATGGTTCAAAAGTTTTGGGTAAGAAGTTGGAGATGGAGGCAAGGACAGGAAAACAGGAGGAATAATGCTGCGCTTGGCAAGCTTGGCAATGTTGCTATGTTGTGCAAAGCTATTTTATATTTTGTTATGTATTGTTATGTGTTGTGCTATTGATTAAATTACATAATTCTTTTGTGAAATCACAACTTGAATTACTAACAAGGGTGTTATAAGAGTAGAAACTATTTGGCATAACTGTTGGCATTGATATTACATGATTAAATAATAAAAATGATTAAAATTTTCATGTAAATTAAAAAAGAGGTAAAATATTTTAGCTTCAAACATATCAATGTTAATAAAAAATCTAGTTGAATACCATAATTATTAATTATACTAATAAACTACATAATAATGTGACTAATTCGAATAACAAATTTTCCAATGCAATCAACAATTATCTGGTTGTCTATAACTAACACATTTAATCTAGAAAATTTAACACCAAATCATTAAATCAAACTGATTGTATAGTAACCAAATCAGTAACTAATGCATAATAAATTAGAATATTCTGTTTTCTTAATTAGACACCTGCTGGTTTTGGGGAAACATGCTAGTTTATAAATAATAATTGAAAGTTATTTAAAGTTAGAACATGCGTTTAATCAAAATAGGCACTTGCGTTACCAACCCAATTTACACCTCCAATCATGACATCAACAACAGATTTTTAAATCAAATATAATTACAAAGATCATGAAGTTATGTAAATAAACGTTCGCATATGAAATGTATTGGTGCAATTGTGATTTAGACATTAAGATCACTGTTGATGGGTGAAATTTGATTACTATATTCTTATAATTTATTTATTTATATATCTCTAAAAAAAGAAAGATATAAAATATGCATGAACTGACTTTAATGATTCTAATATAGCCTTTATATTCTCTAATTCTTACAGACATTTAATGGATATTTTTCGTTTGCCAAGACACCAGCTGCTTCCAACTCTTGTGCATGGTGTCAAGAGGAATACTAATTTCAATGTAAACTTATAAAACAACAACAACAACAACAACAAGCCTTTATCATACTGTGGGGTCGACTAAATGAATCATTTTTTTACATTGACTCATGTTAAGAGTTAAAATATTATTTAAATCTAATAAGAAATGTCATTTCTAATATTTTTCCAACCAAATTTTTTTAGGTCTACATCTAAAGAGTAAAGCCACTCATCCACCTGAGAATCCTCATCTGTATAAAACTTAACTTAATATTATGCTTCTCTTTTAATGGCCAACATTCTACGCCATAAAGCATTCCAGGTCTAACCACCATCTTATAGAAGTTTCCCTTAAATTTGAGGGGGGCTTTTCTATCACACAACAAGCCGGATGAATTCCTCCACTTCAACCATCCAGCTTGAATTCTACTAATAATATCCCCAACTATTTCACCATCACTCTGAACAATAGACCCAAGATATCAAAAACGTGTACTCTTATTAATGACTTAATCACCAAAAGTCACAATCCCCCACTAGATCAATTATTACTAAAATTACACTTCATATATTCAATTTTAGATCTACTCAAACGAAAGCCTTTAGAGTGTAATATTTACCTCCACAATTCAAGTATACCTTCAACTCCCTTTCTAGTCTTATCAACAAGAAGAATATCATCAGCAAAAAGCATACACCATAGTACAACCTCTTGCAAATATCTAGAGAGAACATCCTTGACTAAAGCAAAATGATATGGGCTTAAGGCTAGTCCGTGATGTAATCTAACTTAAATAGGAAAATACTTGGCCAAACCACCTCGTGTTTAAACTAGGGGTGCAGCAGGCTTGGGATCAACTCATTGAGCTCGAAGGCTTAACGAGTCGGAATTCGAACACTTCGTTACTCGACTCGAGAGCTCGTCGATTAGTTCGCGTAAGAGAAGACGACGCGGGAGGGAGCGAGATTTGGGAATTAGATTTCGTAGGCGGGAAAGGGATTCGCAGGCAAGAGCAGGCTTCGACGGAGCTCAACGGGACGACGGGCGACGGAGCTCTTCGCGACTTGAGAGGATGAGCTTATGGCTTCAACGACGAGACGATGGTCGACGAGCTCGTGACGACGAGGGAGACTCGCAGACAACGCAGGTCGGGAAGGAGCTTGACGAGCCGCTCGACTCTACTCGTTTCATGAGACGAGTATAGCTCATCTTTGGAGCTCGAGCTCGGTATTTGGCAGTCGATCTAGACTCAAACACCCCCTGAGTCAAGCTCGACTCGATTCAGTTGCACACCTAATTTGAACACAATTAACAACTCCTATATACACATTCTTAATGACTTGAATATAAGCATTATTAACCCCTTTCTTTTCTAGAACTCTTCATAGCACTTCTTTGGAACTTTATCATATGTTTTCTCTAAATCAATAAATATCATATATAGATCCTCCTTATTCTCTCTATACTTCTCCATCAAACCTCTCAATAAATGTATAGCTTCCATGGCATGAATTCAAATTGATTTTGAGAAACATTAGTATCACTCCACAACCTATGCTCCATAACTCTCACCCGTAGTTTTAAAGTATGAAAAATTAACTTAATTCCCCTATAGTTCACACAATCTTGTGCATCACCTTTATTCTTAAAAATAGGAATCAACACACTCATTCTCCACTCATCTGACATCTTTTTAGTCTTTAAAATAATATTTAAAAAGTTAGTAACCCAATAAAATTCATTCATCTCCTATGCATTTCCACACTTCTATTGGAAATCAAATCCAACAGCTTTTCCACACTTCATTTACTATAAAACCTCTCTAGCTTCAGTTTTACTAATACGCCGATAAAAACAAATCTTTATTTTCATTTAGGATACTAAATTAACTATAGTCAATTGCATTCACATAATCCTCATTGAAAAGTTTAGAAAAATATCTCATCACCTTTATTGAATATCCTCTTCTAATAAAAGTACTTTTTTATATCATCTTTAATACACTTAAGTTGAACTAAAGCCTTACTACTCTTATTTCTTTGTTTGGCTAACTTATATATATATATATATATCTTCCACCCTGCTTAGTATCTAATCTATTATATAAATTATTAAAAGTTAAAATCTTTGCATCTCATATATTTTTCTTAGACTCTTTACAGAACTCTTTATATATTTTTCAATTATTAGAATTTTTACATCTAAATCATTTTTTATAAAAAATCTTCTTATTTTTTATCTTTTATTACACATTTTGATTTCACCACCAACTATTTTTACTATTAAGAGTTTTTTACTTTGATATTCCACGCACATCTTTAACAGCACTATCTACTTTTTCCCACATAACTTTAGCTTCCTTATACACAGACAAAATCTTAAGATCTAGCATCTTACATTCAAAAATATTTTTGTTAATATTCTTTAAAAGCCTCCATCTAATCCTAGAAAAAGGTTTTACTTTATTTTTTATTTTTCGTCCCTTCATATTAAAGTCCAAAATTAATAATCGATGTTGGATATATAAACTTTCACTCGAAATAACTTTATGATCTTTGCAATTAAACGATCTATTTTTCTTCAGTTGATTTTCTACATGGTGGCACAATAAGTTCTTTCTATAAGAAGTTAAAATTTCCACGTAAAGAATGTCCATCTAAGAAATCAAAACAAAAGAATGATTAAAAAAACATGTAGAATACCTGAACGATCTCTCTCGTTTCCTTTTAGGGAAACCAGTAGCAGTAAAATCAGAAGTTTCAACAGATACAACAGACAAGTTGGCAAAAGCATCTTCCATAGAAATAATGATACTGTTGTCTGCCGATTTTTCTTCAGTTGAGCTTCTGAATTTATTTCTTGCCTTTCTAAGATTATTGTTCCTGCTACATAAGAAAAAAAGAACAAATAGGAGCATAATGTTCAATAGGTCCCAACTTCATACTAAATAGATAATAACTGAGTGACTTACATTACTATTCAACAAGATGAAACAATTTAAAAAACAGAGGACATATAAGTTGGAAACAAGTTAATGTCCTCACCTTGATGCATTCTTGTTACTTCCTGGGTTAGAACGCTCTCTGCACAATTTTGAGACCTTCAGCATTAATAAAACTCATTATATTTCACTAATTACATTCAAGTCGTTGGAGATTAGAAACTTTGATCCACCTAAAAAGCATACCGTGACCTTTTCTTGACAACTCCAACATTATTTTCAGTATCAGGAGCTGGAAGACACACAACTGGTGTGAAGTCATTGGGACCAATTGCAGGACGCTCACCCTCCCGACCAACAAAATTTGAAATAAGAACGGTTCTTTTTAACTGCTGAGCCGCCTTGAGCATAGGCACTTCATGGGGCAGTAAAACTTTCCACCTCCTGAATTCCCACAGAAAATATCATTAGCATGCAAGTTAAAAACATTTTAGATATCATCCAGATATTGCAATAGAAAAATATTCATTAAACATGCACAAGTTAGAAGGCCTGTTCGTTTACCTTCTGCATTGATTATCAGTACGTCCAGGTATGCATGCTGCAACCTTGGACCATCTATGACCATGCTCTGCTATTGCAGCCAGAAACTTAGCATCCTCTTCTTCAGTCCATCTTTCCAGATTTAAAGATGGATCCAAACAATTGAGCCATCTGAGACCATAGAAAATTGATGAATCTAAGAAAAACTGTATTCTATTGTTTAGTTTTTAGATCCAAGCATGTTACCTTTCTCTGCATTGACTTTGAGTCCTACCAGGGATGAACTGAGCTATTTTTTTCCAGTTTTTGGCCCCAAAAAGAATGACTGAAACTTTCAAGCGTTTATCTTCATCCACGGACCACCTTCCCACCCTTTTCCTTTCAGGGAGAAGGGTGTTTCTCCATCTGCAATAATAGAACTTTTTAGTTTAAGATAGCAAATCAGAATAACGAAATCAGGTTAAACAAAGTAACCTGCAAAAATAAACACTTGAGAACCCACAACACATGAAAATGATTATTCATTAAAGTTGCAGTTGTTGATCAGTTCAATCAAGCATGTATAGTATTAAATAAATTTAAGATAGGCTATTATTTGATCAAAAATTACTTATGGGCAGCATTAGAATTTAACTAAAAAGACCACAAGTTGCATTAGAATTTTACTAACAATACTCACAAGGCGTGCAAATCAAAAAAGTTGGGAGAAGAGGATGGAGCCATTAAGAAACTTTTAGGCCTTGACTATAATTTAATGATACTACTTTGCAGTGACTCCATAGAGGGCCCTTGCTTTAACCATAATTTAATGATGCCAATTTACCATAAATTACACAATCAAAGGTCATGTGTTACATCCTTACTGGCATAAAACTTTTGATAGTGATCATGAAAGTACATTTAATATGACTTTGTCTCTTTGTGAGATAAAATTATCCAAAATTTAACATCTTTATAAAACTAGTCTGGAGTATGGATGGCTAACTGCTATGAGCTCGGAGTGGTCATATATTGCTTAAATATTTTTATAATTTATATTTCTTGAGAATTTTGTCTTTTTTATAATAGGAATTGAGCCCAAAGTGATATGTTATGGAATTTGATAGCATTTTAAAAATAAAAATTCCTCCTGCTTGAGAATTTTTTGTCAACGTAGCAATCATCGAGAGTGATGTTTAAAGGATCTGCATTTTCATATTTTTATTTTGAGAATAGACCCCTATAATTATGATATGCAATGAAAGTGCCAATCAAAGGGGTGCTTTAGTAAAAAAATTTACTTCAAATCTTGTCGACTATGCAACTCGCTTGCATATGATTGGGTTTGTGATTTAAATGAATTCATTTAAACATTCCTTACATTACAAATTTTATTGATTCTACCACTATATATAAAGGATTATGTTTGAAAGTTGAAACAATCATTGAACTTTGCAAGTGTGGTGATACTTAGAGATGTTGTTTTGAAATGAATTTCCTTAGAAAAAGGCATCAAAATCCTTATACAAATAAAACAAAAAATAGCTTTGCAAGATTCTTGGTCGAGTATATGAATCTCAATGCATGATGATGTAAGCTTAATAAATTAAACAGCAGGAAGGAAATTTAAGATCATTCCTTGAATACAAATATTTTAAACTTATTGCATTGGTCTTTTTTACGGGGTTCAAGTTTTGTCTACTCAGATCGAAGTTAAAAAGTAAAATTTATGACCCTACTTTATATGTAAGGCACCTGCTTGAGAGAGTGTGTATGTCTAGTTTGACTTTAAATTTTCAAAATAATTGCAAGTCTTTCAAAATATTGCACACCTTTCAAAGCAAGAAAAATTTATATACATGTTCTTTCTAGTTCTCAAAACAATTTCTAATTATAAATTTAAGCATTTAGCACATTTATCAATACACAATTTAGAGGACACGAGCTTTTCAGTGCGCTTGAATGATTTTTAAGGCATTGCAATTATTTTTTACATATGATGCGTGAACACAATTTAAGAATTGTCTAAACTCAAATATGTGTACTTTTAATGGCAGATGCAAAATCATTGAAGGCACTCATACTTTCCAATTTCAGTATTGTGTCCACATTATATCCACTTGGAGATTTTTAATTACGGATCCGCTTGTGAGAGTTTCTAATTAGAATTTTAATTGTGTCCTTGAACCATTGCCAATTTCCTTCCATTTTGTCCATATTTTGTTCAACTTTGGGTGTGCAATGCGAAAATCTTATTCGTGCTCTTAAGCGGAATGTCGAGTTCTATTTACACCCATAGGCAAGCTACCAAGTTCCCAATAAGTCTAGTTTGTATTCAATTTTGGTTCATTTTCAATTAACATGACAAGGCATGTACAGCATTTGAAGTGTATATCTTATTCTTATTTTTTTTTTCTTTTTGTAGTCTTTCATTTTAATTTTGCATGTTATCAAGTCTAGATATACATTTTATTTTCATTTTCTGGAGCTATTTCACTAAACAATAACTGAGCCTCCTGACACCTCTCCATATAGAGGCAATAGGGGGAATGTTAGGTCTGTCCACAATGTCAAAAAAAAGCGTTTACAGAGGTGTGAAACACCATTATTGAGTCTTCCACCCCACCACCCAACAAAAGCCTGTATGGGTCTTAATTCCTGCACAAGAATTTGCAACATAGGGTTTCTCCCCCACATCAAAAAATGATGCATATGATTAGGTATATGGCAGTCGAGTCTTCTCTCCATTACACAAAGAAAAGCACAAAGGGTTTTCTCCCCGCCACATGAAACATATTATAGATCACTTGCACGAGAAATATGCAAGCATAAAACAAACTTCACACATTGACATCATATTAAAGCAGCTTTGCATTATACCTTTGTGTACATTTTTGCAATATATCAAAGCAGCTTTGCATTTAAACCTTATTCCAATAAGGTTTAGGTCCATGTTCAAACCATGTTCCAACAAGGTTCCAACATATTTCAAGCATGGTTCAGAAATGATAAATGAACACAACAAGGTGTAGTTTAAGAGATATAATAAAAAATTATAACACAACTGAGTGTAATTCAAGAGATATAGAATCCATAACATGACATGGTATAACTCAACTGACATAACAAAAAGTCATAAAATAACATAGTGCAATCCAAGAGATAACATAACATAAGTAAATTGAGAATCTTAAAAAAAAAAGGTCCCTACGGAATTATATGATATCATGTGCAACTTCCAGAAGATATTGTAGTTGTTCTCCTTTGATATCTAACATTGCATTAAAAAAGCCAAATTCAATGTCACCTTGAACTAAATTCCTTAGAAGATAATACTTGCTATAAATTAGCACAGCTTACACAGAAAAAATGAATGAACAAGCTCTTGAAGATCTCAAGATTCAAATCATTCTCATCAAACAAGACATAATAGTGAGCTGGTATGCTTAGGAAGACAAACTTATTATCAAAAGCCCCACATTTACATCGAGCTTCAGCAACATATTTATAAAATATAGATTAGTGTAAAGTTCAACAATGTCAAATGTTGCACCATTGCCTCCAATGTTGACACAATAAGGTCATTAGCCTCAACACCAAATAATTTTTTCCACGCACCCCAACTCTTCATGGGACCTACGCAATGTAATGTCCCTCTATAGGTATGATTAGACAAACATGTACACACTAGTATAATAACAAACAAGGCAATTCCAAAAAAAGACACAGAAGACAAAATAATAAAATTCAAACTACCTAAACATTCCTCAAACCTTACTCAAATCTTGTTCGAACAAGGTTCAAACCTTGATCAAATCTTGCTCAAACATTTTTCAAAAAAGTTTCCAACCTTGATTGAAACTTGTTCAAACCTTGTTCAAAAATATGAAGCATGTTCAAATAAGATTTGATCAAGATCAGTACCTTATTCAAATAAAATTCGAGCCAGGTTCCATCCACGTTAGAAGAAGAAAATACGATGATTATATCATTTTGGGTTTTAGGTTTGGAGTGCGAACAACTTTTCAAACATAAATAATATCACTAACAATGAATATCTAGCCCAAGACGAAGATGAAAACTTTGTCTTGAAACTTCCTGCAGATTAATGACACAAGAACGACAATCACTGAAGGCTAGGAAGGTACTAAGAAGACAAAAGGTTAAGCAGCTTCTTGATCTAAAGTTTGAGTGAATGCTTGCTTGAGGGTCCATTAGAATTCTATTAATATAAAGTAGAGGTAGTTTAGTCTGACACATATATCAGGTATATTTCCCAAAAAAATAATTGCAGACATATTTCACCAATTATCACTATTATGTAGTATACAAAGTCAAATTTCAACTTTTCCCTTCTTTTTAAACTTTTTTTCATTTTTTACGAGTTGTGTGTGTATACAAACATGCAAATATATAATCCCTCAAAAATAGAGTAAACTTCAAAATCATCCCCCGACTAAGTATTATGTGGCCATTTTAGTGCCAAAGTATTATGTTGCTCTAATTTAGTCCTTTGACCCTACAAAATGGATTCAAAATTGTCTCTTTGCGAGTAACTTGGGATAAATTTTGTATAGTCGAAAAATTAAATTGGGATCAATTTTATATCACAATTACAATATTAGGGATCATTTTGAATCAATTTTGTATAATCTAAAAAATAAATTAGAGCAACATATTACTCTGAGACTAAAATGGCCACACACGAATAGTCAAGAGACTCTCTCTCTCTAGAACGAGAGAACGAGAGAAAGAGAGAGAAAAGGAGTAGAGAGACAATGAGTTCGAGAGGTAGAGACGATGAGAGAGTGTGTGTGAGAGATAATGATAGAGGCTCATTTTACAAATTTTCCTTGTGCAGCAACAAGGGTAATAAGGATCTTTTTCGGCTAACTTTGATGTTCTAAATGCAACAGTAGGGTCAGTTTTGTGAAATGGGCCACTATTACGTTATTTTGATTTTGATAGAAGAATTTTGAGCTAATTTCATGAGATGATACATTCATTGTTCGTCATTTCCATGATCTTTGATTGAGTTGAATTGTGGATCAAGTTTCAAGGTCAATATAGATGTAAAATTATATGACGCATGTAGCCAAAATACAAAAAAATACACATGATAATTGATTGAGGTAATCACTAGATGAAGTTGCTGATTGGCTAGATGAAGTCATTAAAATGTGGTGCCTAGTTTATATTACCACGAGAAGAAGATGGCTTCAAATTGTTGAATCAAACATATGCCAAAATAAAGTTAAAATGTGAGCATAATTTGAGAATGGACCCAAGACATGTAGGAAGATATAGGCACACCAAGAGCATGGAGCTTCAGCTACTGCAAGGTCTAAGGGGTGTATGCTATAATGGATTAAAATGAATGAGACAACTTCCACCCACCCACCTAAACGGGTTCCAACTTAATAAAATAGTAAATTCGAAAATGATGGCACACTAATAAATTACAAAACTTAGTTGGAATTATGCTTATAAGAATGCTGTATTAATAGATTGGAGTAAGGACATTAAGAGGAGTTATACATAAGAAAGTCATGAAAGGGTAAATGCTGTGACTATTATTTATGTTAGGAACTGCCAGGCTGCCAGCCTTCTCAGGTCCTTCAAGGGAAGCAGACTTTAATATTCCATACAACAGAAACTTTCTAAATGTTGAGATCAACCATAATATTGATCAAAAGTTTGCGCTTTTCAAAGATGACAAAATGAAATGGAAAAGAGATCGACTGACCTAACAGAACATTGATTGCTAGTACGGCCATCCAAATGCGATGCCACGATCTGCCAGCTGTTATCACCAAAAGTTTCAACAGCGGTGCACAATTTTGAATCTTCTTCTCTAGTCCATTCTCTATTTAAAATATGAGGATTAAGACTCCTCTGATATCGTGCCAAGCACTGAAAGGGAGTCCTATTTGTTCCCAATGTCGAGGCCATGTCAATCCAATTGTAAAGCCCTCTATCTTGCACGGTAAACAAGAGTTTCTTGTCTTCCAGTGAAGTCCAAGGATTGCAATTGATCATTGGATCTTCATGATTCAACCACCTAACATGAAAGAGTAATATATTAGAAAATTTAGCTTCTTAAAATGAAGTAATCATAGATTCATAATAAGATGATCTAACAACAAATTCAAATGCATGGAGAAAGAAAATGGACTCATAATGTCTAAGCACTGAACAACAAAAAAATCAGCAGAAAATGATTTAAAAAGAAATTTGCCTAATTTCATTAGAGTGGACACTCCAAGACAAAATAAACAACAATAATTAGCCAGAGTAATCAAAAATCAAATTGTTATTAAATTACTTAAAGAGTGAAAGTGTGTATTTCGAGAGGTTTAAGCAAAGTCCATGTTGGAAAACTTCTTAAAATGAATTAATCATGGCTTCATAACAAGGTTATCTAACAAAAATTTCAAATGCATGAAGAAGGAAAATGGACTGGTAACGTCTAAGCACCAAGCAACATAAAAAATCAGCAGAAAACAATTTAAGAAGAATTCCGCCTAAGTTCATTAGAGCGGAAGCTCCAAGGCAAAATAAACAACAATATTTAAGAAGAGAAATCAAGAGTTAAATTGATGTTTAAGTTACTTAAAGAATGAAAGTGTATATTTTGAGAGGTTTAAGTAAAGCCCATGTCGGGAAACTTCTCTTCTATGTATGAAGCAACCAATTCAAGCCAATTCAATTGGATTACCCAAATAGGGCATGAAGAAAAACTAAAATCAGTGCAAACAAAGCAAAAACTGTCAGAAACCATATCTACATTCAAACTTCACACAATGTTCAAGGAAAAAAGCTCGGCACTAACATCTCAGGCCATATGTAGTATTTCTGCAAGCATAACTGGATAGTTAACCTATTTTGCGACGCCATCAATAAATTCTACAAGATGAGTGTGTGTGCTCACTTGCTGTTAGTTAACCTGTTTTTCGTTGCTCACAACCTCCAACAATATGTCAACTAATCTTGGTTGCTTCTTCTTTTAGCGCTTCTAGTGCTTATTGACTAACAAAGTAGCATTTGCATGTTCCAATTATGCTTCTCACTGTGCAAAGCAGTAAATCTTAGTACTGTGATCATTGCAATTGACTTAGTTCATTGTTCAGATTGTTTAGAATTGTATTTTATTGAATTTGAATTAGGTCAGGATTCAAGGATGATGAATACATTAATCAAAAATAGATTAGCAATAATTATATTTTAATTCTAAAAAGAAACTTCTTATATAATTTTTAAGTAATCACGAATTAATTTAAAAGCAATATATGTATGTCTACATATTAAATGGAACTCAACTAACCACCTTTTACTTTGAAAAGAAAATCAAGAGCCACGAGAAGCTCCATTGATCACGCAACAGGGGGACCACGGATAGCTTATTTAGCCTGGTAATGGCTAGTTGCGTACTTTAGTGGCTATTGTGACTTGGCCAATATCTATGACAGTTAGGAGAGGACTTTGAGCTGATTTTGGGGACTTCATTTAGGCTATAAAAAACAACAACAACAACAATAACAACATCAACATCAAGCCTTTATCCCACTACATGGGATCGGCTACATGAATCCTTTTTCTCCATTGTGTCTTGTTAAGAGTCAAATTCTCATCTAATAAAGAAATGCCATTTTTAATATTTTATAACCAAGTCTTTTTAGGTCTACTTATACCTTTCTTAATATAAGTCAAATCTAATACATCTATTTTCCTAACTGGAACATCGAAGATCAAATGATTAATGAAAATACAATAAAAAGAGCACAATGGTCAGATCATTTTGGTGTAGAAATTTAAAGAATGAATCAAAGAGTTCGTCGACGAAAATCTACTTAAAGCACTTTGGTTTATCCTTCTTCCTCAATACCTTGTAGCATAGTTGCCTGCATGTTTTCATTTATATATTTGCAGCACATTTTGTATATATTATGTATTTTAAGTTGTGGGTGTGTGACTTATAAACTGCAAAAAATCTTGGAAGGCTTTAAAATTGTATTTCTTGTGACCAAGTTAGGAAAAATCTAGAGGAAGACTTGAAGAAGATAAGAGGTAAGTTAAACTTGAAAAATCTTGTTCTTTTCTTGAGATTTTCATGAACCAAATTTTAGGGTTTGGATTTTTTTTGGAGTTTTCTTTAGAATAATGTTAGGGCTTGGTTATGCCTATGTTTCTAAGTCTTAAACTTGAAGTTTGCTTAAGGAAAACCTAGGTTCCAAAATTAGGGTTTTTGTTTTTACATGAGATTTTATTTAAGAAGGTTATGGGAGATGTTTAGAAGCAAGTTTATATGAGAAATTTGATTTTCGTTTATTGATTTTTAGTTTTTCCAAATTAGGGTTTTTCCTAATTTTACATTTCTATGCTTGCATGTAAACTAAACTTATTCCTAAGGGTTATGGGAGCTCTCTAATTAAGAGAATTTAGACTTTTTGAGAAAAATATTTTTTTCTAGTTTTTTTATGAATAAATCCGAAAATTTAATGTCCTAAGATTAGAATTAGAAAAAGGGATGTTTTCGTATGCAAATGTAATGATATAAATGAAGTATTAGGTTTCCAAGATGTGATTTTCAAGTAAAACCGAAATTTTGTTTAAATTTTATTTATTTAAGGGATGCGACAAATTATGGGTTATATTAAAGTAATTACCTATTAGGATCGATTTATGATTTATTTAAGATGTAGGTTATTTGTGATGAATATGCTTATGTGGTTATGGGTAGGTGATTGTGTATTAGTGAACTTAAAGGAAATGATTAGATATGGCATGTGTAGGGTTAGTGTGTTATAGTGGTTTAAATTTACATAAGAGGCTTATATTATAATGTTTCCCTTAGGTTTTGAAAAGAAGAAGTAAGGAAAGATTGGTGAAGTGAAGGTTTTCAAAATGAGGTAGGAACCTCTTACCCTACATGATCATATTCCTTTATGTTTTACATCTTTAGTTAATTGATACATGACAATTGCATATCTTTAGTTAATTGATATTTGACAAATGATATCTTTAGTTGATTTGATACATAACAAATGCATGGTTTATGTTTAACACTCTAACCATAAATAGATGTTCATTTCATACATTAACTTCATGTCCAAGACAAATGGTTGTTATAAAAAGGCTACATTACATACATATGTCTATATGGAAAGATTATATAAATGATTGTGCATGTTGAAGGCGGAGTACCAAATATGATGCGAAAGCACAAATATGGCTCTTATAAACAATACGGAATAATATGACCCTTTGTGGCAAAAGAGGAAAAGAAATGAATGATCAAAAAGATGTTTTTGTACCTGATCAGTACACTCATGGTACTCCGGTACGGTTGTATAAAATAAAATATGAGAAAACATATAACTATGACAAATATAAGCTACGACATCCATAAAAAACATGGCATGCATATGGCATATGACATTCATAAGGCATCCAACATTCATAAGACATATGAAAACTACCATGTGTAGCAAAACAATCAAGGCATTTCCCCTACTAGCATACATGTGAATTTTTCATTTTAAAAGGCATGTGAAAATGTTAGGGTTAGAATTTTCCTATTGAGCGTTAGCTCACTCCCTCGTGTTGAGATACTTTTCAGGAAAACGACCTCCAAAGTAGGCCTGTCAATTTCTGAAACGACCCGAAAACCCGACCCGAACCCGACCCGAAAAATCCGGGTTCGGGTCAACCCGTGAAGTAAACGGGTCGGGTTCGAGTTTAATTTATGGACCCGTTTAAATTTCGGGTCGGGTTCGGGTCAACCCGCCAACCCGCTGTTGACCCGACTAACCCGCGACTACTTAGATTTTTAGGGTTAATTATTTACTTATTTCGAGCGAGAGGCAGCGCACTTCAGCCATTCGTTGATTCGCCTGTTTTAGGGTTTTTCATTCCTCGTCTCCTCTCCTCGCTCTCTCTGTCTCTCATCTCTCTATCTTCTATTCTTCTGCTATCAAAGTATCGAGTATCGAGCAGTTCGAGCTCTCGAATCCTCCTCATTTTTGGCTTTCTCATTCGTGACAATCGGTAATATCTTCAATAACTCACGACCTTTTGTTGTTTTAGACTGTTGGTGGGACGTTCAGGGCCTCAGGCGATGTTTTCTGATTTTTATTTAGTTTTTGGATCGAAGATTTGTTATTTGTTTTTGTAGCAAATTTCGAGTTTTGCGGTTTTCCCTATCGTGGTGTTTGAGGTATTGAGCGTTACCGATTTGCCTATTTGGTGAGTCCGTGAATCGTGATTTCTGAAATGAGTGAAATCTATAGATGGAGGAAGGAGGATTAGCCGATTTGAGACTGAGAGCTTTAGGTGTGCTGAAATGTTCATTAGGGTTTCTTTGTGAACTTGAGTCTTGAGATCAGGAACATGAAATCTTTTATGTTTTTGTCACTACATCACTGAGCTGCTTGATGCTATCTTTTATATTGGTTATTTTGAGTATGGAACTATCAACTATGGAAGACTGAAAATAGTCAGGATTGTTCATTGTTTTGTCGGCCTGCTAACTGCTGAGTAACTGAGTTATGGACATGTTATTTGATTTATTTCACTGGCTGTTGTTTACACTTGTTGTTGTCTTGCTGTTGGCTTTGGCCCTTTGGCTACTTGGTTGTTTCCTATTGAGTGTTGGCTAATGGCTACTTGGATGTTGTTGATTTTTTATTAAATGTTCACAGCTTCACTTCAGCTTTATGATTATTATTTATTTAGTTCATACAACTTAAATTTAAATTCAAAAGCCATGACACCATGTTGAATTGCTATGATGATTTATGACTTTAATCAATTAATTGCTATTTTTTCCTATGCTTATACAATCCTATAATATGGAGTTGTGATGTGGAGTTATATAATTTTTTTTTAGATGGAGGATTCAAATACAGTTGTTGCGAGCAATCCTTATGATCATAATGAGCACGTTCCTACTGCTAATGAACAGGAATATGATAGTGATTAACTTAATAATGCTAGTGGAACAACTCAAAAAAATAAAAGGAGATTGACTTCTAATGTGTGGGGACATTTCGAAATGTTGCC